AAAATTTCTATACCCGAGCTCCTGCTATCATGGTGCAGCGCCTCGAACGCTTTTCTAATCGTCAATTCTAACAATTTCGTTCAAAAGATGGATTAAATTTTTATTTTATTCTCGCTTAGCCATGATCAGAACTCTAATAAGATTGTCATGGCATCTCGAAAAGTAGTCCAAGTCTTTTGCTTCTCATGAGGTTCTTTGGCTGTTACCTTTAGTATCATTGAGATCTTTGCTAGAAAACTGCGGTATCGATTCGAAGATTATCATAAAATTTCTAGTTTTCGACAGAAGAATCTGAGTTGACAAGCAGGTTGTTTAACTATATTTTTCTTACGCATTTGTAGTAACCACATCATTAGCATATCGACATATGTACGTGAATGCGACTGAATATATATCAGTGTCGTGAAAAATTGCAGATGAACTTACAACTAAAGACAATAAGTCTGATCCCCTCTCGCAACACGGCTGTATTCCCAAAAAGTAGCTCAAGATTACCCATTTACTGACTGCACCAAGAAAATTATCTTGACTGCACCTAGAAACGAAAAGTTTAGCGTGGCAAAAACAAATTTTGACAATTTAAGTTCGTTGAAATAACGAACTTAAATTGATTGATTTCAAGACTCTCTTGAAACGAACCAACAGAATTTGAACAAAGGAAAATTTAAAACAGGCGTAGTCAAAACAAAAAGTTTTAAACAAAAATGTTGGGAAACTAATACCTCTCCTAAAACGAGATACAACCCAAATATTCAGCGAAAAACTGAAACTTCCTGAGAGAATTTCTTCCTTTCCTTGAGAAAAGACCGAAGTAATTTTGTTAAAATCTCTTCGATCTAGACCCTGCAAAGCGTTTACCCTTGACAATAGCATGTGTTTTGCAGAAACATTGCGAAACTACCTGTTTCAAAATTCATAACATAACGATCAGGTACTGATTGAAGACAGTGAGTTTCTTACGCCCATCTGCGTAGGTAATCTATAGAAAACTATATCATTAATATTTGGCAAAGAGTGAGACACTGGATATTTTTAAATTCAGAAGACCTTTTCTTACCAAAACAAGGATAAATAAAAATTGTCTGAAAACAAGCACGGCCATTTGGTCATCTTTGAACAAGCTTGTTGGAATTTCAAGTCTTCAGTTTATTTTTAAACTGAAAAGACAAGCTTTGTAAGAAAAACATTTCAGTGTAAAACATCAGTCGCTGTATATTAAATTTTCTTCTGTTCCGTCAAATCCGTGATCTTGTAGGAGCATATTTAAACCTAAAAACTTCTGTAAAAAAGAGGATACAATTTCATCCATTCTTTTACCTTAGAGAACCTTACAACCACTTTCCCCGGAGTTATTTGGAAAAAAACCTATGGATTTGTTTATGATCTCAGGTGATTTTATCCGTAATCACCGCATGCCTCACAAAGGTTTTCTATGCCCTAAATAACCTTGTACTTGGAAAAAAAACCTGATCACTCGGATAAAATTAATAATTCCTTCTCAGAGGAAATAAAATTTCTCGTCTTATTGTTGCACTCTGTCCCATCCTAATGGCATGGGAGCCGACCGCATCATTTATCATAAACACTCTGTGTTCGATTTGGTCTATTTGGGGTTTTGTTGTTATAATTGAGAAATCACTCTTTTGTCACCTGGTAAAAAAATTATTAAACTCACACTAAATTTGATTCTTTGTTATTGTGCGGGTAGGATTCACAATTTTATTCAGTCAAGATATACCAAAACAAAAGTATTGTGTAATCTTCAATATGCATCGGAAAATGTTGCAACGCAGTTAAACCGAAATTTGAATCGAGGAGTCGAAACCGTTTTACCAACAAAACTTAAACAGTTTTCTGTTCCATTGTTTATTCAAGGGGCTGGTTTCTAAGCTATTCAGCGGGCCATCAATAAATCATTCATGTTCAAAGCTACTTTTTGCCACAAGGTTTATGTAGAAATTTTATTTCAAACAAAGCAAAAAATTTCTGTATCTGTATTTTTCATTGGCGAAATTCAATAAAATTTCACCCTCCTCTTGAACCAACGGAAGTTTCAAATTCGGAGTATTTTTGTCAAAATGTCACATCTTGTAACTCAGTACCTCTTTTTGAGTTTGTGAAAATACCTCAATGAGACTTAGAGATCTGCTAAACAAAATCAAACCATCTACTAAAATCTTATTTAATTATCTCAAAGATAATCTTATCTTCGGAAGAATATGGATAATTTGCGTCTTCAGTTGGGTGAGAACATAAGGGACATTCGATTCTCTAGGTGAAAAAGTTCAGAATTGATACTTAACACCAATTTCTCATCAGCGTAACTAATAACAACCTCATATCACCAGTTAATAACATCACGAATTCACACCGTTTGTATGAAAACTAAAATTCACAAATCACAGCCTTACTAACCTTGCAGGATCTGCGGCAGTTTTTAGGTCATCAACTCGCTTTAAAACTCCAGCCTTGTGCATAATTGAATCACCTTCAGTGGACCTGTCAAAAAATCTACACGCTTTTGACAGAAATGTTTAAATTGTCAAGCAGGTAGTTTAACTTATACTGTTATCAATATTAATGACCGAAATATTTGTATATTGACGGCCAAGGACACAGAAATTGAAAAACCAGCGTGGTGTGGGTGAGATTGTAAATAACGACACAACAAAGTAGTTGATATTTACAGGGAAAAAATGCTTTAGGACTACGATCCTATTGACGATTATCGTATTCACTTTTAAGATCTTAAAAGCAATTCTCCCTTCTAACTGCTTTTACTAAATGTAGAAAGTTTGTTGGAGCTACTTCTCAATTGGAGTCGAAAGTAATCAAGATTGCTTTGGTTCTGCTTCATTTCGCCATGTGATTGGTCTAGGAAACTCACGTCACTTTCTCAACCAATCAGATTAAAAACTAACAGCCGATCGCGACTTGGTCTTCAGCGTTTTCCCGCGCTTGGCAAGCAGTTTGCTTGTTTTCGCTTAGGGCTCTTATTGACGCCCTGTGATGTTTTCGTGGCTCTGATTGGCTATTGTGGTTACCTTGGTTTTGGATAGAGATGTTCTCTACATCTCGACCTGGCTGATAGATTTTTGTATTCTCATCACTTGTTTGCTGGATAATGTATTGATATTTTGAGGAGGAGTAATATATCAATCACTTGGGGTTTTCTTATGCCTTAAGTGATTATGAGGAAACTTCTCCGTTTCAATATCGACGCATTTTCAAGCTAAACGGTGGTGAGCATTGAAAAACTAATCTGCTCGAGAGTTATAACATGATATCATCATCATCATCATCATCATCATCATCAGAATAAAGAGGTAAGTTTCTAAAGAAACTGTGGTGCTGCGTCGGTGGGATTCCATGACACGCTCTGGGTTGAAAACGTAAATTAGCCACCGTAAAGGGTAAAAAGCTCGTTTCGAGCGTTAGCCCTTGGTTCGCTCTCGAAGGGCTAACGCTGTCTTCCATTGCATTCGGTTTTCAGTTCTTAAATTCTGCATCCATCATCATCAGATCGAGTTTGCTCATCCATCAATCCACCTGGTCTTCCATTGCATTCGGTAGTTCTTAAATTCTGCATCCTGTGTCATCCATCAATTGGTCAATGTAGGTCTTTTTTGGGCGTCCTCTCGGCTGATGTCCTTGTGTTGGCTTTCAGAGTAATACATCCCCTCCTAGTTTTTCTTTACTGCGCCAACAATGTCCCGTGAATCTCTTCCTTTGTTGCTGTAGCGATTTACTGATTGGCGGGATGTGGCCGTAGAGCTCTACGTTTGTGGGTGGTCCTTCCACGATCTGTTTAAGGCAGTGCGTAGCATTCTAGTGTATGCTCCGTCGATTTTCATTTCCAAATGTGTTAAGGTCCAGGAGACTGAACCATAGAAAAGGACGGTCTCCACTGCTGCTCGAAGGAAGTTTCTCTTCAGGTTGTCTGGAAGGTTTGATATAACATGATATAACACTAGTATAAAAAAATTGTGAAGCACCTAGAATGGAGAATTATTAATCAGATCTTGTAAGATTTAAAAGTGACACTGCGAGGGTCCGAGCATTAACCATTTCATCCATAAGAGTGACTAACATCTAATTTCTCTTAACAATATCATCCCTGAATCACACATTAAGATGCCAAGAAGAAAGGAAATGATCACCAACTAAAGAAGCTCTTGATTGTTCAGCAAATTCTCCTTGTCAGCACCTTAGTAAATGTACAGAGAACAGTATGGAGAATATGCATACTGATGTTAGGGTGTAAAGGGTTAAGTGATAAAGCACCTTATGAGATTACTGGTCCGATGATGACTCGGATCAGTCTTCGTCTTAAGTTCTTCAATTTAACAAATAGATTCCAAGTTGCCGTGCGTCTGTTCAGTAATAGATCACAGATGACGTCAAAATGTGGTAAGAACAAAAAAGTGGCACACCAGGCGCAGCCGAGTGTGTCACTGATGTTCTTACCACATTTTGACGTCCTCTGTGATCTATTACTGAACTATTTGTTAAATTGAAGAACTTAAGACGAAGATTGATCCGGGTCATCGTCGGACCAGTAATCTAAGTCATTTCAGCAAATGAAGGCACAAAAGCAACTTGGAATCTATTTGTTTTATATAATAAAGAATTAAAAAAAGTTTTAACGATAACATCATCTATACGTCTGTCCTCCAATAGATCATAAGTGAGAACCAATCAGAATGCGTGCATAACTGAGCTTATTATATAAAATCAAATAATCAATGATTCTGCAACTTTCTTTCTGCAGATGAACTAATGCTGGCAGTGATAAATTACAGAATCCACAGAATTTGACAAAAATTTTTTATTACGATCATTATCAACTCGAGAATGCACCGGCATTTTTAGAAGATTGATTTTGATCACATTAACGAAACCAGTAACTGTTTAGTTATCAGCAAGACTCGTTCGACAGAACGTGGGCAGAAAAGTCCGCCCTTTGTTTGTTACTTGAGGGGTACATGAACTTATTAGCCAGTCAAGAAGGTACATCCAAGCCAGGAATTAAAGTATGGGAGGACCACGACCGTAGACTTTTGACGTGTTTCATAATGACTTGTCTGAACCAAGCAAGTTTTTTTTGGTCCATTCTTCCAGTGACGATGTAAGATTCACCTTTATTACTAAATAATCCCATAAAATCTAATTCGACAGGTCCATATTGGAGTTCAATAGGTATATTGCCACTCTCCACCCACGAATGACAGCGTGAACTTGTTCCGGCGAACTGTCTAAGTGACTTGACGAAACGTTGGGAGCCTGGGGGATAACTTGTGATGCACAGGCATCCTATCCAGTAAGAGAACCAATATACTCTAGCCACTTCATGCTTCCATAATCAAAAGAAGCTCCGGTCCCGTGAGACACTTGGTTCCTGTGAAAGGCTGAAGCTGTTGTGGGATGCCTGTGTCTCAACTGCTTGCTCGGATACTTTTTAGTTATGATACTAACGCTGTGCCTCTGGACATCGATATTCACAGACGATCCAAGACCAATGTTAAGCCTTACCGATCAGATAATTGCTATTTCGGCTTACTTAACGGGCCATTTAGGACTCAAACCTAGAACAGGTCTCCGATCCTTTCTCTCCACTGCTCTCCAGTTTGGCAATACGGGAACCAAACTGAATTGCGCGCTTAGGTAACTTTGATGATGACGTCAAGCCAAGTAACCTCGCTGCTTGGCGCAGCAACTGTTTCTCCCCAGTCCCTCTAGGCAAGCCTGGATCTGTCTGAAAATAAAACGTATTGGAGTTTTAAAACGACCGATATGCACGTGAAGACTTACAGTTGCAATGACAAATAAAATACCCCAATTTAATTTCAATCTAAGACTTACAATTGACAAGAAACAAGTTTCACAGTGGAGCTACTAATGGTTTAAAAGACAAAATGACTGACCCACAGACATATGGAATGACTCACCGATCGACCACTGAACTGAGAGGCAGACAAGCAGACAGACAGACCAACTGACCCAACAAGCGACCAATAAAGAGAAGAATGGCCAGCCAACCAGACAGACAGTCAGACAGCACATACTTTCAGTTTAACTCACAGATTGACCAACAGACAGAACGACTACGGAACCAAACGACCAACTGACCAACACAGACAGACCCACCGATCGACAGAAAGACAGACAGATCGTCCGATACAGATAAACAGACCAACAGTCCAACAGTCAGAAAGAGAGACAGAGAGACCAGCTGAGTAACAATTAGTCAGACAACAACACAAAAGCGAAAGACAAACCAGATACACGGAAGCTTAGCCAACCAAATGACAAAGTGTTATCGTGTCCTGAAAAACCGAGGTGTGAGCAGACTAAAATAACTAAAGACGATAGGAATTTAATAAATTCTTTAAAAAATGTTAATCGAATATTCGTTAGGCATTTTGGAGCAAAGATGCGGTTTCAAAAAGCAGCATTGTATTTACCTTGAGCCACACTGGTAGACTATTCAGAAACGAGACTACATCTTCGTCCAGAAACGGAAACCGCGCTTCTCGACCGTGATCTGAGATACACCTGTACACCAAATAAAATGTCAGTCAACTTTTCATAACGACTCGAATCCACTATCTACGAGGATGAAAATCCGTCTGTTTACGTCTCCAGTGATCGGGTAGGTTTGTGAATCCCTATTCACTGTCCTTTCCGAGTCATTGTGTTATGTTCCCTACTTTCCACCCTACTTTCACAATGAGAGCCTGTCTCCCCCACAAGTATAGAAGGTTAGCAGCCAATTGTTGTGCATAAACCGTCAACATGTTGGCCAATAACCTGTGACGGAAAACATTCTATCCCGTGGGGTAACAGTTTTCCTTATCGCTTGATGCTCGTAAACCGAGGTAAGTTCCCTTGGCGCAGTTTTCGAGCGAGTGTCGCAAAAACCAAAACCTAAGAAATCCCAGGGACCAATCATTAGCCAATAGCAACTCAAAGTAAAAACAAGCAACTGCTCGAAGCCAGGTCGTGATTGGCTTCAGTTTTAGATCTGATTGGTTGAGAGAGTGGTGCGAGATTTCTGGACCAATCACAGAGCGAAGTAATGCAAAACTGAAGCAACTCCGCATTACGTTCGACAGTCAAGCAAAAATTGCTCTTAACTCGGGAATGCACTGTGATTTTTCGCTCACTTAAGGCTTTCCTTAAAGTATTTCTTTCACGCACTCACTCCCAGATCAGGTTGGTAATTCTCCTTACTTTGAACCATATAATTCTTATCATGTTAGTGCGGAAAATTTGATATTGGATCAACTAATAATCTTATAATTGACATTTTTTTAAAAATTCTCATCACTTTTCTGCCTGATTTTTTATTCATATTGTCAGGAGAAGCTCTATCTTGGTCACTCATGGGAGTTAAAAGGCTAACTCCCAGAAGCGATGATCTTTTAACTTATTCTCACAATATCAAACAAAGCGTCCAGAAATTTCTCCTATTGGGGATAAAAACTTGATTTCACCTAGATTCTCAGACGTGGCATGGTAAGAAGAGAGTCGCAGTCAGGGAAGAAAATTCGCACTGGAAGAGCATCTCACCTGTCATCCCGCCCAAGGTTTCGCTTAGATATTCGCTTTACCTCCATTTCCATCTCATCCATTAAACCTGACCAGCCTTCTACACTGAAATGATATATATAACAATGTTGAAACCGTGCCTAAACATGTGCAAAATAAATCCAATTTGAGGATGGAAAAAGTCTGAAGTGTGAGAGACACATAGGCTTATTGGTTGAACACTAGGTCGCGTGAGGTCCGGGATCGAATTTTGCCCAGGTTAATGCGTTGTGTTCTTAAGACAGACACTACGCCTCTCTCCACCAAGGAGTTTAAATGAGTGCAGGTGAACTGTCATGGAAACCTGACAAAATGCTAAGGAGCGGGGGTTGGGTGGGGGTTGTAAGCTGCAGTGGTCTAGCATCTCAAACAGCGGGTGTACCGATAACAATTTATTGGATGAGGTTGAGCACAATATCATGAATTATCAATGCCGAGATCTGAGTTATCTACCGAAGCTGAAGGCTGAAGCCGATGAAACAGACATCAGGATAGATAATTCATGATATCATGCGAAAACCGAAATCAAGAATAGTTCTATAATACATTTTTTTAAAAAATCTACAAAGGAAGACACTTTTCTCAGAATTTGCAAAAGTTTGAGAACACTACACGGACGAGGGGCTTAGAAACTAAGCAGACTTTGAACTGGACATGATAACCCAATGTCTGCTTCAGACATTGGGTTATCATGTCAACTTCACACGCTATTGTATACTGGCTGTATGCTCTTGACCAATCAGAGTTTTCATTGTAAGCCTGATGTATAATAATACTCCTCGTTGCTCCATGCTACGGAGGCCAGTATAAGCTCTAGCGCTTTGTGGACCACTCGACTCTGGTGCAGTTTTAACCCTCACTTGAAGCGTGTCCTGTGTCTGGCATATCCTCCCAGTTGTTCATCAGCCCCCATACCAACCAACAGAACCTGATAAAATGAGGATAACGATAATTATGAGTCACATGGTTACTCTGTACACTTGACGTGTGGTAAGAGTTGAAATCTGGATACAGAGCTAAGGTCTAATGGAGGAAAAAAAACCAAAAAAAAAAGAAAAACTGTAAGAAAAAACGACACGAGCGAGCATTTCACTTGCAAAAAAAAAAGAAAGAAAAGCTCGAATTTTGCATCTCCCGATAACTTTCAGTCATTTCACTTTTTGTTAACAAATGAATAAAACTACAACATAGCAACTGGAATTTCAAAGTTATCGTTCTGAACACTAAACCTACTTGCAAGGAGGGAATGGTTATGGAGGAACAACGCTCTCTAGTATAGTAAATAACTGAAAAATTCTCTGAAAATTTCAAAGCCGTGTAGCTGGAATTATTTGAGAAATGACTATCTGATAGTCTTCTTTTTCACAAAAGTTTGTACGCCGAGAGGTACAGCAATAATTGCATAAAAACAGGCTGTGTTTGGATCCATTTTCTTAATTTTCAATTTTTTAATTTCAGCGGGAATCGCAACCAAGACAATACCTGGTTGGAGAGCTCTAAATGCAACGATACTTTCGATCTTTCGGAACTTCGCTATCTTTGAAGATCGCTGCTTTGGGATAAACATACACTCCGATTGACTTCTGGGTCACAGCTAACAACTGTTGTACCTTAGCTCGGCTTGTATACGTCTCATCTTCAACATTTGCCTCACTATCTTGCTTGAGGTTACTATTCCCTGAGGTGGTTCGCAGACGACCAACTCCCCGGGCAGCAAACCACAAAGCACATCCAATACTGTCATCCAATACTGTGTTCAGGGGGGACACCAAATGGCTAATATGGCGTGACCTTGGAGAAATTTAAGATGAGAAATCCTAGTTTACTGAAGAGAATAAAATCAAGTAACAGCGTGAACAAAGATCCTACCACATGCCCAACTCTTGTCACACATAAACATACAATCCTCAACAAAGCTGTTGAGACCGTTATGACAAAACGGTCGCAAATGATCACATTTTAGAACCTTGCAACAGCAGCACCTCTACCCCACCCCACCCCCTACTGCAATGTTTGAAACAGTTCCGAAAACGTTCATTGATCGGGGGGAGGGGAAGTGGGGAGGGAAGAGATTACAACGCTCTAAAAGGAATAATTCCTATAATAGATCAGTCACATATTTCGCACAAGGTTCTGCTCTAATAATAGAAGTGTCCCAATAAATTTGACCACGATTTTAAGATGTGACTTGGTTTGCAAACGATTTCTCTAAAGTATAGTTCGCGGAGCATCTGGGCGACTGGGTCGTCCGAAGAGTAATGCTTCTTTCCTTTCCTACGCGAAAGCGTCAATCAAGCGTTCAATCAAACAAAAGCTTCAGACCATTCTGAACTCACGAGAACTTAACATTTCTTTTTTTAAACTCTACCTCGTCGTACCTCATTTCTTGCAGTTCTTCAAGGGTCACATTAACCTTTAGCGAGGAACAAAATTGTGAATTTAAGCCAACAGAATTATTGGTGGAAACTAAATTACGTTAAAACACAAACAAAGAAAATCCAAAAGTCAATCACAAGAAACACCACTTTCAAACAATGAAAACTCAGAACAAGTACACGAGTCTGCCTTTAAGCGCGGGAAATTTACGCCGCGTGCGACCGATAAGGAAACAAACGCTGGTGACAGACAGTAAGCGCGGGAAAGTTAACACGTGATACTGGCAGAAACTATAAAGCAATGACAAGTTGGTAACTCCAAATGTTGGAAAACTGATACGCCACATGAACAAAAGATTGGAGCAAATCGTGCGACCGTCGGAAGGACGAATGAGATCCAAATAAGCTGAAAGTTGAGTCCACTGATTGATGATAGATGTCCGGACTCAAGCCAATCTCTCAACCAATCAGATGTAATATTAGAGTGCTTTTCGATTCAGTGTCGTATAACATAAAACAAATGTAACCACAACGTCCAATGAGAAGAAAGGAAAAAAACTTGCAAGAGCCAATGAGAACTCAAGCAAAACAACAAAACTGCCTAAAGCGCGAGAAAACGCGGGCGACCGAGTCTTAATTGATTCCAGCTTTGCATCTGATTGGTTGGGAGAGTGGCGCAAATTTTTTAGACCAATCACAAAACGAAGTAAAGCGAAACCGATACGATTTCAGATAACTTTCGACACTCAATAGAAAACTGCTGTATGACCAATCGCACTTTAGTCATTCAGTGATTTCCAGCGCTTCGGTCAGTTTGCTTGTTTTGTTTCGAATTCTTATTGGTTCTTCAATTCGTGTTCCTCTTTCAAGTGGACCTTGGCTTACAACACTCAATCTAACGGCGCACTTTCTGTTTGGCTGATTAGGCAAGGTGAGTTCTCGCCAATCGATCAAGCCACGAAGTAACACAAGAAAAACTAAACGCAACCTGTTGCGCGTTTTTTGTGTATATTAAATATCCGACAACTTAAAACTCTTCACCTCGATAAAATTCCATTTTCGTGACGGGCTGATAAGGCGCAATTCCTCCAAACCCGATATTCCAGTAAGTCTGTCTGGTACACTGAAATTTCTAGAGTGTTTCACTTCTGTTGCGTTCTTTTTCGTCTGTTTTCCTTTTCTCGTCTTCTTGTTCGGAGGATGACTGGAATTGACTTTTTGTTCAAATGATACGTTAATAAGGTCTATGGCTTCTTCAACAGGTACATACCTAGAAATGAAATGTGTCCATTAAATACCCAACTAAAGTTACCCGTTACTCAAAGACTATTTTTGTTCGACCTTATTCCTTCATTTGTTCGCTCGTTGTTCGTTTGGCTGTTTGATAGTTATATCATGATGGTTCGCTTGCTCTTCGTGTCCTTTGTTTGTTGGCTCGTTCGTTCGTTCATGTTCTCGTTCGTTCGCTCGCTTGTTCATTTGTTTGTTTATAGGTTCACTAGTTTGTTCGTTTTAAATCTGATTTTCTCCTATGTTTATTCGCTCGTTGTTTTGTTTGTTCGCTTTGGTCGTTTGTTCGTTCGTTTGGTCGTTTGGTCGTTCTTTTGTTCGTTCGTTTTTTCGTGCGTTTGTTCATTCTTTCGTTTGTTCGTTCGTTCGTTTGTTTATTCGTTTGTTCATTGATTCGTTGGTTTGTTCGTTTGTTCATTCGTTCGTTCGTTGTTTTGTTCGTTGGTTTGTTTGTTTGTTCGTTCGTTCGTTCGTTCGTTCGTTCGTTCGTTCGTTCGTTCGTTCGTTCGTTCGTTCGTGCGTTCGTGCGTTCGTGCGTTCGTGCGTTTGTTCGTTCCTTCGTTCATTTGTTTGGTTGTTCGTTCGTTAATTTGTTTATTTCTTTGCGTATTCCATTATTTGTCGACTTACTTGTCCGCCAAAGCTGCTATCATCATTGAATCAATTCCACCCGAAAATAATATTCCAACACGAGCATCGTGAACTTCTGAATTTTCCAAACTTCCCGCTTCCACACTTCTTTCAGATGAAGAAACAGAAGCAACTAAATGCTTATCACATGACGTTCTCGGCAGATTCCACACTCGTTTCCTTACAGCATCACCAAGAACTGCGATAAATTTGTCTCTTGATTCGTCGTAACAGGAATCCCACTCATTTCGGGTTCTTAACAAGTTGCTCTGATGACACTCTTCAGCGATTGTCAAAGTCGAAGAAAAGTTTGCACATTCTTCGTTTAAATCAGTTTGTGCATCATCCTTGGAATAATTTTCTAAACACAAGTTTCTCTCGTTTCCCGTACAGCCCAAACCAACCGGATAGCAACTGGAATCGTAGCCACATGGACTCTCCGAAGAATTTTTTCCATAAGAAGAATCTAGTAAAGTTTCATTTGTCGAAGAACCGTTCACCTTCATAGTCCATGTACAATCACGTACACTCTTTTCACGCACAGTCATTTCGTGATCACAATTCACGTTCGAGTATTCAGGTTTAATAGCAGTTCCTTCAGTTTCATTTCTTGTTTCCACAGTGTCAGGAGGCAAGATGGCTTCAGGAAGTTCTTTGTTAAAGTTTTCTACATAATTTTCTCCTTGTAACGTTTCTTTGCTCTCCTTCATTGGAATGTCTTTCGATTTCTTTCTACCTTCATCTTGTACACTCAAACGTGAATGAATATTTCGCCTGTTTTCTTCAATGATTCTTAAGTCTTTTTCAGTTGGCATTTGTTTGCTGAAAGGCGTGACAGGACAATTTAGAAGCCCTTTCCTCTCTAATTCCTCGCCTGGAATAGTCCATTCATATTTATTGATCCTAAAGTATTGTTTCTCATCTTGCTCGCTCGTCGAACTCAAAAAATCCAAGCAATACAGGCCATCGGCTGGAATCTCTTCAAAATGCTATAACAGAAAGATCAGAGATATTTTACTTCGTCAGAGGGAAGGGCTAACCACAGGCAGGCCACACTTTGTGCTCGTGGTTAACAGTTGTTGACATGAGACGAACAAAATCTATGAGGGTTATGAATAAAGCTTAGAAACTTGAAATTGCATATCTACATCTCGGTCTGATTGTCTCAATTAAGTTAAATGAAATGTTAATCGAAGCATTGTGGTATTTTTCAGCCCTAGTGGGCCGTTTAAATCGTCTTTGTACGAAATTACTTTTGGCCGGAAGCCCTTAAGAAAGGGATAGGGAGACAAGGCTTGCAACTTGGTGGCCGCCAGCCGCGACCTCCTCCACTTCAAACTAGAATTAACGCCAAACTACTGAAAATCTCTCCTAACGGTTGACGGTTGTTGATCGATGGGATGCTGCTCTATCTCTTTGCAAAATTTGAGCTTTATCTCTACAACATTTTCCGAGAAAATCGATGCTGAAATCATGAATACAACATTCTCGATATGATCGGTGCCAAACTAAGCGACCAAAGGATTCGAAGCATGCAGGCTGTGTTAAATTTACCAATCAGCGCTTGGCTAGGTTTTGAATCGCAATGGGCTGTCGTGAGAAGTTGCTGCACTGATTGGTAGACCGAGATGTAATTTGGATATGCAATTTTCAAAGCTTTACTCATGACCCTCATATATTTGTTCGTGTCAAGTCAACAATTATTAACCACGAACACATGGTGTGGGCTAATACTCGAAAGCAGTCAGTATCTCACACCATCAACTCAGTTGATTAAAATCAGAATAACTTGTAAATAAACAATAACAAACAGAGAGAGAGATACTGTGAGGGTATACAAGCCAAGAAGGCTAGTGCAAAAAAAGCCTTATTGTATAGCCTAGCTGTTTTAATACAAAATTCTAACTTTTAAACTCTGAAAAAATCAGCTTTGGTTCTACATGAACACTTTACTTTCAAAAAGCAAAGGAAAATACTCACCAGATCCGTTCCAGCAGCAACAGAGTTTCTCTCAGTCACAGAGGCTATTGCAAGTACATCATCCGGATTTGAAGGACGGTGCCACAAGAGACTGCGACGTCCAAAATAATCTCTGCCAAACCATAGCTTCTGTTCACTTACCTAGACAAAAATGAAACATCCCAGAAATAGAAAAATGAGGTAATTCTGTAAACCTAAGAAGTTCAATCTGATTACCATGGCATGATATCAACTATTGATTTTTCAAGATCTGATTCAAACTCCTTTGTTCCCTACACCCATTTCCAACCACTCCACATTTCCTTACAAATTATCCAAGTAGCCTGCAAAGGCATGCATATTTTTGGTGATAGGAAAAAGTGACCCATCATTGAGAAATTTGACAAACAGAAATGCGTCTGCTCTCTCCTGGTATAAGTTGTGAAAATTTGGTATTTCATTAAGATTGCACATTCCTTTGGACAGGTCTGTGAATTCTTTTCACCTTTTCAGAGGGTTTATTACTCATCAAAGATCTAAGAATTCTCTGGCTGCTACACAAAATTCTCTTGTTAAATTTCAGTGACCTAGCTACATTTTTTCATTCAGACATTGTGGATATTCTTTTTCCTATTACCTAATAATGCTATCATCCTACCACGGCATTGTTCTAGGCCCTTTCCCCAGATAATAAATTGATCTCCTTGTATATTTAGCAGATCAGAGGCCTGTACCTGCCAGTAAAGAAATGCCCAGGGACCATGAATCTTTGCCAGTGTAGACAAAATATGCTGAGAAGGAGGAACATCGGAAGGATGGTTAGACAACTTGTCCAGCAAAACAAGAGTATCGTTTTCATCTTCCTTTACCTAAAAAGGTTATGTTAGGGTTTACTTGTTGACTAAAATAAAATATTCCTTTTTTTTTTAATGGAATGACTTCTCAGATTCACAAGCTTGGTGTATTACAGTACTTTGAGTAAGCCTTTTTTTTTTCTTTGTAGTTTGTTATAATCTTCACCATGTACTAAATGAATACTTCAACATTTTGGCTGTATGAATTCTCAGTACACTTGAAAAGGAATACTACAGTACAACACTGACATCTCCTATAATAAGTGATTCATTTCATTTTATTTTTCATTTGGAATTTCTAAAATTATGTAAATAACTGTACCTGTAATCCACCAAATATTTCTCCATTCCACAACAAAATATTCCCAGATTCATCCTTTAAAGGTTGAGGAGTCTTTGCTCCTCTCAAATGAAGCACAGTAGCAACAAATTTCAAGCAGAATGTTCCATTATCATTTGTTATGGAACAGTCTGTTTTTCCGGCATGGTCAGGACCTCTTCTTTGGAGATGTGGAAGGATTGAATCTGAAATAGCCTTAAGAAATAATTGTTAAAGAAACTTTGCACCCCTGATCCTTTTGCCACCACTTTCAACGAAACAAAACACAACTCTAGCATTAGAAGTTTAGGAAATTGAGGACCACAAATCTGCCGAAAAAATTAATAGAAAATTGGGAGGCTCTTTAACTCCCAAGATCTGATCGTGAATTCTCCCCTCTAGCTGCTAGACATTTCCCTGTAAATAAGTAACGAGAATTTGATGTAAGACCGAGATAAAAAAAACTTCTACCTGATAAGATTGAGTATTCTCGTTACCTGTTTGCTTGATGATGTTTAAATTTTATTAGGAGAATTTACATGTTAATCACTGCTGAGAGAACAACATGTGCTCAGAGTTTTCTTGCTTCTCACCAAAAAAAAATATGAAGGAATAGAAAGATCGGATAAAGGATAAAAACCAACCTTATAGCGACTCCTAGAGCTGTGATTATCCACGAAAAGGCAACAGCAAATTCCACACATTTTATTTTTTGCCAAACGTTCACTGTCGCTTCAAGTTATCATTTTGTCCGCCATGTTGAAATCATTGTTCTGTGCCTTTAGTTCACACTGATAGCGGTCTCTTCACCAGTTACCAATCTTTTTCTTGTTAACGCTCATTTCAAGATGGCGTCCGCCAGCATCGCAGAAGAAGCTGAAGTTTTCGAACCGTCGATTCAAAATATCATCGATCAAATAACGCTGCGATGGGTATTTGTCGGAGGAAAAGGTGGTGTTGGTAAGACAACATGCAGGTACGCAATAAGACTGCTGTTAGATTAAGATTTTGTAGAATGATTGGCGTCGATTTTTTGATGTGATAGCTGAAGATTTCAGAAAACCGTGGTACCGCCTTGTGAATACTTGGTTTAGGCACGTCCTGATTTCAACAATGATTGGCAATACTACATTAAATTTTCCCGAATTATGCCAAATGTTCACGGTTTTCAAGGTTCGACGGTTGCGAAAGCGTACGTACAATTCTGTCTTACTCAGTATGGTTATCATGCGATCAGTCAAGGACTCTTTTACTGATTATCGTCCCTAATCTTTCTTGAAGTTTGATTTTTTTTTCTATTTCTCTATTCTTTGCACTAGTTTGATAGCCATCTAGTTGTGATAAATTTATTAAACTATCGTATTTATTGTTTTTATCAAAGATGTAAATAAAATAGTAAGGTGTATGATTTCATAGAAAAAGAAAGATTCTGTGAATCGTTTTTCTATATAATATAAAAAAATGTTTGACAGAATCCACCAGAAGTGATAATTCTCTTGGCTCTCATTATCAGTCATCTTGACAGTGAGTAAGAATTGATAAACTGATCCACGAAAAGTTTCCATGTCAGATTGAATCAATTGAAACGTTTAAAAGGAAAATTACAGAAAATTCTACTTTTAGCCATGCCATTACTACATATAGGTGTATATAAAACAGGAGTTCAGGGTGCAGCGTCAAGGATCAGCAATGTTAATATTGTAATGCAGATAAATAGGAAAAGAAAATATGAGAAATATGAGCTAAAAATTTAATATCTTTCAAATCTGTGCAAAATGTTCATCATGTTTGTATTTTAATATTGTTTAGTTGTAGCATTGCTCTTCAACTTGCTAAAACAAGAGACACTGTCCTGATTATTTCCACTGATCCTGCTCATAACATATCAGATGCGTTCAACCAGAAATTTAGCAACACTCCAACCAAGGTTCAAGGCTGTGATAACCTCTATGCAATGGTAAGTTAACCCTTTAACTCCCACAAGTGACCAGGACAGGATTTCTCCTTACAATACTAATCAAATGTCAAGCAGAAAAGTAATAAGAATAAAGGAAAATATCAAGGAGGGAGATTATCAGTTGATCCAATGCCAAATTCTCCTAACTAAACTCATAAGAATTGTATGGTTGACACTGATGAGAATTACTAATGAGATCTTGGTGGTGAAAGGGTTAAGCATTACACACAAAATTTAATCTCTAGCTTTATAATGTTAACATCATTATGTATATTCTCCATACTGTTCTCTATACATGTGCTTTGGTGCTAACAAGGAGAATTTGTTGACCAATCAGGAGCTTTAGTTGGTGATCATCTTCTTTATTTGCATGACCTTAATGTGTGATTCACAGATGATATTCTCAACGAGGATTAGATGTTAGTCACCCCAAGATGTCAAAGGGTAAAAAAGCTTAACCATTGTATACATGCTTATTGTTTCAATAGGAAATAGACCCAAATGTTGGATTTTCTCAGCTTCCTGATGATATTTTAGATGAGCCAGGTGAGTTCCTCTTTGTACTTATACTATCATTTAATTTTATGATACAATATATTGAACATAGTTGAAATATTTATTATTAGTAATTATAAAATAATTCAAATAGTACGCGTGCTCTAATTGGCCATAAAACCATTTTACATGAGCATATGTAAACACGGTTTTCATTCCTCTTTCATTAGTTTTTTATAAAAGAAATGTAAAATGGTTTCTGTGTTAACATAGCCTGATGTAAACACTTGGGAGGTCGGGAGAACACTCGATAAGCTGGAAACCACTCCGCTTCACGTCGTGGTTTCCTACGCTTATCTCGTGTTCTCCCAACCTCCTGCATGTTTACATCAGGCTATGTAAACATGGAAACCATTTTACATTTCTTCAATGTAAATACCACACAGGTAAGAAGTGCTTTTTGTACACTTTGATTGGCTGGTTTGGAAGTGATTAGCAAATACTATTCACTTCTGAGTAGCTGAAGAGACAAAATTTCCCTGTTGAAATTCTACTTTCTGACTGTTCTTGGATATAGTAACTGAAATAAACAGATTTTTTTAGTTTTTTCTGTTATATACTAAAACAATTATTTACCTAAGTGTCAGTGCAAGTGATGACTGTCACTATTCACCTCAACTTCGATGAATAATTGATAACTATTATTACTTGTCACATTGTTTTTATCATCATCATCATCATCATTATCATCATTCCTATCATTACTGTTGTTGTTGTGGCTGATATTTGCCAAATTTTTTTTGTATAATTAAAATTTGTCATTATCATGTGACTTTATTATAGACTTGATGTCCATGGGTAAAGGTATGATTAAGGAACTATTAGGAGCTTTTCCTGGAATTGATGAAGCCATGAGTTTTGCTGAGGTTATGAGGTTTGTCATCACCATTATCATTAACATTGCTGTCATCTTCATTGTTTCAATAACAACACAGAAGGGTTTTTCGTAGTAGATATTAATAATTAACCCTTCAACCCCCATGAGTGCCAAGACAGAATTTTCCTTATAAAGCACACAAGTGATGAGGAAAAAAAAAAACCCTCAGAGGATTATTATTTAGTCCAATACCAAATTCTCCAAACTAACATCACAAGAACTGTATGGCAGACAGTAAGGAGAATTACTAATGAGATCTTGGGAGTTAAAGGATTAGCCTGTACAAAGTTGGTTACCAAGTACGGTTAGCACTTGAGTTCATGTCTTGGTACCTAAAACCCAAAATTAATGAAAGACAAGTTAATTTATAGTTGACTTGTGATTCAGAAATATCTTATTTGAAAAAAAACCCTGGCTGGTCTGAGCATTGGCCCTTAAAGGACTCAGTGAATGAGTGATCAGTGATCAAGATAATTATCTGTTATAACTTACTAGTAAACCTTTTCAACTTTCTCTACAAACAGGCTAGTGAACACAATGGATTTTAGTGTAGTGGTATTTGACACAGCTCCAACAGGCCACACCCTCAGACTACTTGCATTTCCATCAATTATTGAAAAATCTCTTGGAAAAATTTTAGCTCTGAAGAACAGTATTGGACCATTTGTCTCTCAGGTAATGTACATTATATTTACCCCCGGAGCAGCTTATTTCTGTAGCTCTGAGGTGGGGCACAAGGCTATTAGTGACCCTCATCTTTTGTCAAGTGAGTAATCATGTAACTGAGACAGCCTTACATGTGTATGCCTCCAAATGATTGGTTAAGGTTAACTTATAACTACTTTGCTGCAACAGTTTATTTAAAGTTTAATAATTGATGATATGAAGCTGGGAATAACATTTTTGGGAAAATTCATCAGAGTTCTGAAACTAACCCTTTTTCCAGTCATGGTTTTATATCAAGTCAAAATTTCCAAATTTCAAGTTGTCCTAATTCTTAGAGAGAGAGAGGGAGACATAGTGTGATCTTGTGGTCAGTGAGATAGACTATGGGTGGAGAGGTTTGGGCTCAAGACTTGGCCAGGTCATTGTGTTATCTTCCTGGGCAAAATAATTTACTTTCACAGTACCTCTCTTTACCCAGGAGTAAAACGTTTACTAGCATTGTCAGGGAAGCCTGATGAAATGCTGGGAGGGGGTAATCTTATGATGGACTGGGGCCCCATCCAGGGGGTAGTGGTAATACTCCTAAGCTCATCATACAAAGGAAAACAGTATAACTTCTGGCTGGATATACCACTTGGTCTGAGTGTGGCCTTTAATTCCCACCTACTGTCTGCTGAACAACGTATTGATACATGTATCATAAGGAGGTGTTATCTGGGGATCAGCCATGAATGACACTGTGAAGTAAGGTTACTTCCCACCTTTGTGGGTGTCTTTCGGGAAAATATTTGTATGTGCACTAGTTTCACTAAAATTCTAGCAAACTGTACATCACAAGAAAGCTTAATAAATACAGGTTACAATAAAAATATAATTTAAGAAAGCTTTCTAAATAACTCAGGTGCTTTTGGAGATTTTAATTTTTTTTGGAAATGTTAGGTAAAATGTTTGAATTCAGTTCAGTCAAATAAAAGAAAAAACGTTTTTTCGGCCTATGAAGGTGGGAAGTAACCCTAATTTAATACGTGGGTTTCCCTTTTTTTTTTTGCTTGTTGTTTAGTTTGGCTCTTTGCTGGGTATACACGATATGAATGCAGATCAAATGACCAAGAAGTTAGAAGACACACTGCCCGTGATACAGCAAGTCAGTCAACAGTTTAAAAATCCGGTATGAGAGAAACTTCTCTATTATTATCGGTGTAAAGAGTTTTTCGAGAGTGTCGTTAAAGCATAACTAGAGGTATCACCTCGACCATTCAGAAAAAAGGGAAGAATTATCAGAAGCCAATGAGAACCTTTGAGTAAGAACAAGCAAACTGCGTAAAGCGCGGGAAAACGCGGGTGATCAAGTCGCGATTGGCTTTAGTTTTGCATCCGATTGGCTGAGAAAAGGGCGCGATTTTTCTGGACCAATCACGGAGGACGCAAGTAAACCGCGTTACTTTTGACAGTCAATGTACCAGTAGGGTAATTTAGTTTTATCAACTGAGTTGATAAGGTAAATTGGCCACCGTAGTGTTTCAAGGCTGACGTTTCGAGCGTTGGCCCTTCATCAGAGCGAATGGCGAGGGGCTATTGCTCTAAACGTCAGCTTTGAAACCTTTACGGTGGCCAATTTACGTTCTAAATCAACTGATAATACTGAATTACCCTGTTGTACCCTCCCTCCGACGTAGTACTACAGTTTCTGTAGAAACTTACCCCCTTAATTCAATGTACCAATAATCGATTTTAAATTTAACAACTTTCTTTCAGGATCACACAACATTTGTATGCGTTTGTATAGCAGAGTTTCTGTCCCTCTACGAAACAGAGAGATTAGTTCAAGAGCTCAGCAAGTCAGACATTGACACACACAACATCATTGTTAACCAACTGATTTTCCCCGACAAAGAGAAAGGTGATGTTGTTTTTGAATCATTCGCGATGATGAAAACGTACCACTAGTAATTACTTTCCATGTCCCCTCTTTAGCCAAACTGACTAAGAATATTTCTTCTTCGCCTAAGCGAAGTGCGTCCTGTAATTGGCGAAAAGAAACGTTCGAAACGTCAGCTTTAAACTCTTTACGTTGGCCAATTTACCCTGTTCTTCTCTCCCACCGACGCAGCACCACAGTTTCTTTAGAAATTTACCCCCTTTATCCGATGGACAACTTTCGCGCATCTTGAATGAATCCAACTGAGAATATTTTTTTCTCCTTTCACAGCATGTGCGTTATGCCAAGCCAGATACAAAGTACAGAATAAATACCTCGAGCAGGTAAAAACTCGCACTTCTGAAGTTAGATTACCTCAAATCTCACGAACCAGTCACTGAAGAGAACGAACAACCGATTAGGGTAACGATAGGGGACGATAGGTAACGAAGGGTAACGACAGGGGACGATGGGAAACGAAGGGTAACAACAGGAAACGAAGAGATAAACGAAATAGAATTAAGGATCGATTCTGTCAGCGAGAGTTGACGATTTAAAGCACGATCTAACGAATGCGAGAGATCAAATGAAAGAGCGAGAAGGAATGAAGAAAGAACGAGTGAACATACGAGGAACACGTTCAAATGCACGAACGAACAAGCGATTAATGGCCGATGGACGACCGAACAGACCAACGAGCGAACGATTGACCTAGCTAAAAATGGCCGGTGGACGGCCGAAAAAAACAAACAAACGAACAAACGATCGACCAGACGAGTTGTAGCCGATGGACGGCCGATAGACGGCCGGGCAGACGAAGTAACAAACGATCGGACAGGCGAATAATGGCAAATGGACGGTCGAACATACGAACGAACAAACGATTGACCGAGCAAATTATGGCCGATCGACGACCGAACGAACAAACGAGCGAAAAGTAAGATGACTACTATAATGGTAAAGTTAAGCTCCTCTCTCTCCTTTCCTTTTTTGTAGATTCAAGACTTGTATGAAGACTTTCACGTTGTAACTCTGCCACTCTTGGCTCACGAAGTACGAGGTCGAGAAAAACTTGAACAATTTTCTAGAAATCTGTTAACTCCATACTCCAACTAGAACGTGAAAAGTTGAAATAAGAAGGAACAAAAACATAAACAAAAACAAAACAAAAGTAAAACAAGCAAACAAAACAAAACACATGAAATAAATTTTAACAAGTTTGGATGAAGCAGATGTTATCACAACAGTTGAACTGAGATGATTTTCTGTCACTCTATGAAGTCGCACACGAGGCGCAACTGAGTGTGTCACTGATGGTCTTCCCGCGTTTTGTTGTGTTCTGTGAGGTACTACTGGACAGACCCACAGTAACATGGAATCTTGTTTTTTTATAAGACAAAGAAGGAAAATGTTGTTAGTGATGACGTCATGTATGCGTCTGTGTTAACCCTTTACACCCTAACATCAGTATGCATATTCTCCATACTGTTCTCTAAACAATTTCCTAAGGGGCTGACAAGGAGAATTTGTTTATCAATCAAGAGAATATTTAGTTCGTGATCATTTGCTTTATTCTCATGACCTTACTGTGTGATGCAGGGGTTATACTGTTGGGAGAAATTATATGAGTCACTCTCAGGGGTTAAAGGGTCAAGATTCAAGCTTATCTCATAATGAACAAAAAGGCTTCATGTTGTCTTGCGTCTGTCCGATAGTAAATCAAAAAGATGTCAAAATGTGGTTAGAACAACAGAGTGGCATATGAAGTTCAGCCACGCGTATCAATGATTTTTTAGGTGTTATATTTATAATATAAACATTATAAACGCACGATGCGCTTAAATTTTCTTTTTATTACGAACTTGGCACTTGCATTTTAGGATCCTATTTAATTTCTCCGATAACTTTCCACCATTGTTGATGTAGTCGAAGTTCGCAACTCATCGTAATTTTAACCCTTTCACTACCACAAATGATCACAAGGAAAATCTTATTGCAATTATCATACATTATCAAGCAGAGGGGTAATGGAAATTAACAAAATTATCAACTGGACAAATACAGCCGCGATACCACACCAAATTCTCAGAAACGGTCGATGGAGAAATCTATGGCCATAAGTTAAGAGAATTCGTCTATAGATCTTTGATCTTGGAAGTGAAAGGGTTAAAGACGTTTTTCACTAATTAATTAGCTATTTTGATCATTCGTTTTCCCTGCAGGTATAATCGGCGCGAAATAGCTATTTACAATTTTTACAGCACTATAATACAATTCACATCGGAATTCTTCCCGTTAAGATATTTCCGCCTCTTTGGATCTAATTACACTCCTCAGGTCCGTCCGCACAAGGGTTAAATACAAAGTCAATATTAACAATAATGTTCTCTTCCTTTGTACAAATAAAATAAATACAATATATAAGTTAACATTTAAGCCGTGGGATTTCAAGGCCTGCGCAACGAGCAAAACACAGGGGATTTATCAGTAAGCTTGTCAGCGTTTTCCTCCAAAACCTTTTCTTTTTAATTTTTTTGCACGTACTCCTCGACCACATCTTTAAAATAGGCTTCTTCAACGAACTGGGGTAGATTGGAGACTGCCGTATCACTGAGACAAACTTCTCGTCGATCTCTGAAGTTGTCAATTCCTTTTTGAGAAATTATTTCTTAGATGAGCAGTGTAATATTATAACATAAGTACTTGAAAGTTCAAAAGAATAGAAGTATTTGGCAGTCAACCATAAACAGCGATCAAACCATTAGTCACGCTTATCAAAGCCTGTTACAAGCCCTCCTTCTGGATTGAGGTTTGACGCCCAAGAAAGTTGTAGTTTATGCTAAGTATTCCATAATTTGACAATCGAACTCTTGTCAATAAACTTAGTACTCTTGCAATTGTGTTTCAACAAAGTTGTACAAAAAGTACGATTCTTATGCTTCTTGGATCTGAAGTTCGATTCTGGCTTGGTACAGGTACTTTGGAAATATCGTCAACTTCACACTCTCCTATCGATTACACACCACACGAAGCAGTCCAAAACCGTCCACAGAGATAAATTTTCCTTCAATGATTGCAGTCTTGTATCGCAGTTCAGATTCATTACATTGCGTTGCCAAAGACAGTGGATAAGGGTCAGAAAAATTCAAGTCGACGTGAAAATGAAATATTATTCAATTAGTGCTTGCAGGCGTACCACAGCGAGGATTCTACTTATCGGCCGCTATTCATGCGTTTACGTAAAAGTTTTACACGGCGGGTAAAACAGAACATTATCCAACCATTTCTCGGGACAAATAAAGGACACTTCTAAAAGTCTGGTGTGAGCACCTTGGAATCTCGCGGCACAAAATCAATAAGTCTTCAATAACCCTTAGTTTACCGATTAATAGCTTTCTTCCTTCCAAACTTCCTGGGACAAAATCCACACCTCAAATTCGAAAGAAACCATCGTCCGCTTCTTCCAAATGGAAAATTTCCTTGTAATTCCTTTGCTCCTAGTTCTAATCTCCTTCTTTTTGGCTATCTTGTTCTTCGTGTTCTTCGTGTTCCTCGTCTTCGTCTTCTCTCTCTTCATCCACCTGGTCTGTATCTTTTCCTTCGCCTTTCTCTTCGTCATCGTCAAATTCATCATCCGCTTCACAACTACGGCTGCTACTCACATATTTAGTCAGGTCAGGAGTTTTTCCAGCTACCACTTCTCTTAGCCTCTGCAATCTTTTCTCGCAGTCATCATCTGTATCAATAAAAACAAACAATCAACGTTAGTCGAAACGTTATTTCACTCTCAAAGTACAAATCTTAAAGCTATTGACCTTGACATTGACTGCAAAGTGCCCCGCGCTATATGCTGGCAGCAGAATTTCCCGCGTTTGACAAGAATTTCTTGTTTTCCCGTGCAAGTCACCGACACAGTGCAGTCCCTCTCGCTGTTGACACTGGATACAAATTTTTCCGCGCTTAGGAATGACTGCCAAATTTCCTGTGTTTGACAAAGGCTACCAATCTTTCCCGCGCTCGACACTGGTTGCCTCCTTTCGCACTTGTCACTGGCTCCATTCCCTATCGGGCTCGGTACTGGTCGCATCATTTCCCGCGCTTGACACAAGCTACGTATTTTCCCGCGCTTGACATTAGTTGCTTACTTTCGCGCTTGTCACTGGCTCCATTTCCTATCGCGCTCGGTACTGTTCGCATCATTTCCCGCGCCTGACACAGCGTGCATATTTTCCCACGCTCGACAATGTTTGCCTACTTTGGCGCTTGTCACTAACTACATCTCTTCGCACTGATTGCATAATTTCCCGAGTTGGAAAGTCGTTGCATATATTCTCGGCTTGACAATTAAGGCGTATTCTCCCACGCTTAAGATAGACCGCTAATTTTCTGACGATAAACACAAGTCAAGCCTTTTCTCCTGCGCTGCGTACTAATCATCGACTCACCGGACGTTTCAGGTTCTGATTGGTCAATAGCTTCTTTCCTTGTGCCCTGCCAACTGACTCGCTTCTCTCTACCAGATGAACTATGCTCTCCAGGCTTCCTCTCCTGTTCGTGCTTGGGGACCTGGGCGTTGTACCAGTATCTATTGTCCTCAATGCGCTCTAAGATCTCAATGGCGTCAGGATGTACCAAGTCGCCCCAGGTCTCCCATAGCGGTTGGATGACAAAGTCGATAAACACCACCTATTGCAAGAGGATATAAAACAAATACCTTTATCAAAGTAACGAATCGAAGTAGAGATCATGATTATTTGCCGTTCACAAACTTACTTAAGAAACAACGCCAAATTTCACCCAAGAGTTCATTGTAATAAAACTATTCCAGACCTGCGACGAGCATTAATCATTCAGTGCTGTTTGCTGCAGTGGTTTCCTTCTCGACTGTTCTTCGGTCATGTCACGCAAAGGTAAAAGAGTCAATTGCGTGACAAGAAATAACTACAGCTGAAGAGGTGATATAGTATTATCAGCTGAGTTGATAACGTAGACTGGCAGCCGGAGGGATGTATGCCTTAGTTATTATCACTGTGTCGGGAATTGTGGCGCATTTTGCAGGCTAAAACGCAGATTTTGGTGGGATAAAATGTATTTTAGCCCGCTTGCACGCTCGCGTGATTTTTCAGACTGCTTTGTTGTCATTTTCGACAGCTTTTACGTTCTCAATTCACTCCAAAGTAATAATAATTGTAATATAGTTTATATTCTTTGGCACAATTACGTTTGGGCCCTCTTTAAGGCTCATTTTAACCCTCGCCTGGCAGCTCGGGCTAAAACTACTATGTGTCGAACCCAAAACATTTTTACGCCCGCAAACGTAAACTCTATTGTTCTCGTTCATTATAATCCTACCTGCGATTTCTCTATAGAAGCATTATGTCTGTCCATCATTGGACTGATTTCCATTCCCTCGATGTCTCGCTCCCTGTCACCCTGAGAAAAATTAAGCAGCAGTTCGTGAGCTGAACTACAAAGTACAATCTAACAGGTGCACTACGTGAGCTAAATGTGACAGCTTCAGCTCTTATAATGAACTCAGAGGTAGAAGACGAAGAATAAAAGAGTGGATGGAAAGTTGGAAGAGTAGAAGATCAATAGGCAAGCATAAATGTAAACAATGAGAGAGAAAATAAACATAAACAGACGGAGTTAGGGCTGAAGAGGGACCGAATGAATAAACAAGTTGACGATTAAAACGCTTTCAACAGATGGTTTCCTGTTGATTAGCGAGAGTGAGCCATGTCAGCCGCCTCCTAGTGAAGGGAGGCACACCGCCCCCCGCCTCCTCCCCTGCCATCCCTAGCTTTACAGAGTAACCAGCACAAACCTGTCTGAAGAATTCTTCCATTACTCTGTCGACCCACTTTCTGTACATTGGAAGAGGCTTTGCGGGATTGCTAAGATCGGCACAATGTACCAAGCACTTGAGAACCTACATGAACAAATATCCACAAATAATAGTTGGCGTTCACTTCAGATGGGGAAAAAATCTTAAGTGTATTCTCCTACTTAGATCACATCCCAGGTGAGAAGCTGAGTCACTATCACTGTTGATTTACCCCTGGGATATCTCCAAACCGCCGTCCCTAGTTTCCTAATGAGTCTTTTCTTCAGGATGTCACGCTAAGATGTTCCCCGTGAAATTTCAAGAGACCGGAGGCCTCAACCCAATAGGGTTAGCTATTTCAAGTTGTTTGTTACCTGAGAGTTCTTGCTACCGGGGGAAGTCACCTCAAAAGAGGTTCCGTATCCCGAGGTCCTTATCTGTACATTAACCCTTTACACCCTAACATCAGTATGCATATTCTCCATACTGTTCTCTAAACATTCCCTCAGTTGCTGACAAGGAGAGTTTGTCTAACAATTAAGAACTTCTTTAGTTGGTGATCATTTCCTTTATTCTCCTGACCTTAATGTTTGATTCAGTGGTGATATGGAAAGGAGAAATTAGATGCTAGTCACTCTTAGGAGCTAAAGCGTTATGAAGAGGTCTGCTGTAAGGCTCACCTGCATTCTGTCAGTGGCGTTGTCTAAACACAGTACTCCGCTGCCAGCCACCTTCTTGCTTTCGACCATGGTCTTTAGAGAGGCTAGTAGACTCATGTGCTTCGCGTTATCAGTCGCGAGTACCTAACAGAATCAGACCAACATGACACATTCACATCCAATACATCTGTGAAATATTTAACGATAACTTGCCGACACTTCATTCACATTCAGTGGTTTTACATATAATACGCGTGAATATTTTGCGCATATTTTGCGAGTTGAATAGCGCCGTAAGGTCGAGGAAATATATGAGCAATGAGCAAAATGTCAATTTGTTTATCATATTTTAAACCATCGAATTAGGATTTCTTATTCCACTACTCTATATTTCATTTTCCAGTCTTTTGGCTTCTAATTTTCGGGGTAGGGGTAGGGGTAGGGACAGGGGTAGGAGCAGGCAGGAAGTTTCTCAGATACCGACATTGATCTCCTTAATCACTAAAAATTCATGGTGAAAATTTTTCCTCTTACCATTTCGATAATTGTTCTCCGTACTGTTTGTCTTTCTTTTTTCGTAAGATTTTCAAAGATATCACAGTCTTCGTGTTGTAAAAGTTGAAATGCCACGGCCAAGTGGTGATTTTCAAGAACAGATTCGTCATTATACATCAGTGCCATTTCAGAATCTGTTCACATACAAAAAGAAAAAACAAACACAAAAGAACAACTTGACGTTAACGGGATGCGCAATGACAGAGGGTAAACATATTCTCCATACTGTTCTCTGTGCATCTACCAAGGTGCTGACAAGAAGTGTTAAACAATCGAGAGCTTCTTAAATTGGTGATCATTTCCTTTATTCTCGTGACCTCTATGTGCGATTCAGGGCTGTCAATGTAAGGAGAAATTAGATGCCGGTCACTCTTAGATTCAAAGCGTTTAAGCTAGGTTTTCCCGACAGCTGTCTGACCCAGCTATACTTCCTGGTGAAGAGAGCCAGTAGAAAGTCTTGCCCAATAGGACAACACGCTGATCTCCACCAAGATCCTGGGGTCCAACACGGACCTGTCTATACATAGCTTAACCCTGTAACCTGTAACAGCGATAGGCGTCTAATATCTCCCAACAGCATCGCCCCTGAATCAAACATTTAGGTCATGAGAATGAACGAAACGGTCGCAAACTCGAGAAACTCTTGATTGTTAGACAAATTCTCCTTGTAAGCACCATGGGAAATGCATAGGGATCAGTGTGAAGAACATAGGGAGTTAGAGAAAAAAAAAACCACCAAAACAAAACTGAGGCTGTTTTTGTTTTTGTCTGAAAGTGAATCCTAAGAAACCCTGAGGGTAAAAAATTAAGGGCACGTGGAGAGAGAAGGGAGCAAAGGAATAGTTCGCTCTGCTCACCCTCATTCTATTTGGAAGTAAAAGGAAAACGAAAAGATCGCTAGGCTGGATAAAAGAAAACAATTGCAAATATATTTACTTGTTGCCACTAAGAAATGATTATTGACTCCTGGGTGGTCGACATCATGGACAGCACTGGCTAAGATGGCAGCGAGGACTTCAAGATCGGTAAAGACGGACTGAATAGAGCGGAGAACAAAAGAGATATGCGTCAATAGCCTGTTACAGGCGTTCATTTAGTAAAACGGAGCAAACCAGTTTGTAGCAAAGCGAAACGAGGGGGATTTAGGTTGAGTCGCGTCGCGTCGCGTCGCGTCGCGTCGCGTCACGTCCAGACCTAAGCCTCTCTCAGTTTTTAACTCCTCCGCTACTATAGCGCTTTATTTTACTAACTTAACGCTTGGAAGAGGTTGATGTGTTAGCTGCCCACAGCATGAAAAATCCTGTACAAATTTGTTATCAAACGTCGCTTGTGGCTGCGGCCGACGGCTCGTTTTGTAAGCTGTTTTGCAAGCTGAATAAAGGGGGTAAGTTTCTAAAGAAACTGTGGTGCTGCGTCGGAGGGAGAGTATCACAGGCAATTAGGTGTTAACAACTGAGTTGAAAAGGCTGACGTTTTGAGCGTCGCTCTTCGCTCGAAACGTCAGCCTTTAAACTTTTTACGGTGGTAAACTTACGTTTTCAACTCCGTTGTTAACACTAAATTACCTGTTTTGCAAGCTGTTTTGCAATGCGTCCTCTATATCCTGGCTATAAATTGATTTATTTATGAAAACATGTTCCCTTACTTCGAATGCTTGAGCTGATAGGAGAGTGTGTGACGTTTGTGTGACATCCGCTGCATGAGTGCAGTTATGGAAGGGGACATCTTTTAAATAATGATTCTACAAAGAAAAATAGAATTGTTACACACAATCACAATGCTATACAAAATTTAAAAATGTCAAATTGCTCCTAGCAAACTCCATCTACAACCATCTTTGTAACTTTTCGATTTGCTTTACATCCCCTAAAGCTCACCAAACTACTCTCCTTTTTAGTATATTTCAACTGGCGTTCTGTCATATATACTGCCATCTGATTGGCCACGCTACTCACTACTTATTACGTGACAGATAGTGGGCGATGTTAGTCCTCTAACAGTGTGTGGTTGTTGACAAAATGAAAAAAAAAAATAAGCCTAAACTGTTGTTAAGTTTTGAACGACTCAATGACTCACACTGAAACTATTAGATCAATCGAAACTTCGTGTTCAGAATCTAATTAACAATTGGTTTATACGCGCTTCATACGTGCTTCATATCTCGATGAACGCACAGCTGACGCATGAATCAGTTGTTATATAACATTTTCAACCCGATGGAAATTTTTTTTTCTCGAGGGATTTGTTTGCTGAGTCATGAGCGTGCACAATAGGAATATGAAGCAGGCTCGCGCAATTGAATTTGATTACACAAATTTACTACCTATGTTATAATTAACAATGATGTCAATCCAATTAAAATAATTTTTTTCCGATTTCAAACTATATACGTGACGCAGTGGCTAGTGCGGTAACCGCGGGAGCGAGCGGTCTGGGTTCAAGCCTTGACTAAGTCAAAGAGCTGTGTTCTTGCGCAGGACACTGTGCTCCTGCAGTCCCTCTCTTTTTAGGGGTACACCTCTTACAGTGCCTCTGTCCACTTTAGTGTATACACGGGGACACATAAAATTGCCAGGGGAATTTTACGAATTGCTACTGTTGTCTAGAATTTCGTTAATGAGGGGTAGCACTGTTTCTAGTTTTGTAACCAAAGTAAGCATCAGTAGTAATGACTTATAGGCTTGCAAAACTATGCTATCTTCACGCTTTGTCTTACCTCGACTGACGACATATAGTTAATAAACGTAGTGGGTTTTATCTTGAATATTTTTAATAAATCTCTGGCCTGCAAAGAATCAAAGTTTAAAGTCAGCAAGTGTTTTAAGATATTTAGACTTTGACGACAACACAATTGCAAAATACTCCCCAGGTCAGGGCCCGGCCCATTTGAAAGTTATCAGTGGACAAACCGATTTTTTTCTGACGCCAGTTAGAAATCAGTTTTTTAACACTCAAAGCCGCGCGTTTCGAGCCAGCGAGAGGTCTGTGTGGGTTTCGAACCCTTGCGGACCTCTCGCAAGTTCCTCACGCACACTCACATTGTTCGCAGGCTCAAAACGCGAAAGCTTCGCCGCTCGTGTCACAGAGTCACTGTGAGCCTGCAGTGCCTGCAGACTGGATTTGCGATTGGTTTTACTTCAGCATCTGGCTCAGAGAGGATGACACGAGATTTCGAGACAAATCACGAAGTGCAGTAGAGGAAAAACAATACAACCCTGGATTACTTTCGACATTCAATTAAAGAATACTCACACAAAACAATAACAACTACAACAACAGCAACAACAGCAACAACAGCGACAACAACTACAACAACAACAGCAACAGCAACAACAACAACAACAACAACAACTACCGCAACAACATCAACAAACACCAACCTGCAGGATTGTGTACGTAACAGCAAGCAAAGGATGCCCCTGTGTTAGGTCATGTAATTTGAACACATCAAATGTCCATTTGTTGATTTCTTCTAAGACCTTATGAAAAAAAAACATTACACTGACTGTAAATTTTGCATCTCACACTTTTTTTTAAAGAGACCATACGCCTTTAGTCACCTCGTTTTTCACGCCATCAGCACAAGATGGGTTAGAAATGAAAAACTATTCAACCATGAAAAATTAATTTCATTCACGGTTTAATCATCAGAACTACAGAATGAACGGAAACGAAACGAAATGCACCTCACAAAGTATCACCGATACAAATTAATTCAGGATTATTGTACAAAAGCTCACCTTCGCTAATTCGCCCTCATTGGCCACCTCCACTCCAAATCTACAAGAGAAAGATTTAATGGGAAGCAATCAATTTGATCAACCAGTAATCAGCAGTCGGTCGGTCGGTAAGTCTATTAGCCGGTCGGGTGGTCACTTTGTAAGTTAAGTGACTCAACTGCCAGTTATTCAGCCACCAGTCAGTCAGTCAGACACTCCGTAAGTCAGCTAATCAATCAGTCAGTCATTCTCACAATCCATATGTCACTTAGTCAATCAGTCAGTCAGTCTAACAGTCCGTAAGTCACTTAGTCAATCAATCAGTCAGTCTGACAATCCATAAGTCCCTTAGTCAATCAGTCTGACAGTCCGTAAGTCCCTTAGTCAATCAGTCAGTCAGTCTGACAGTCCGTAAGTCACTTAGTCAAACAGTCAGTCAGTCTGACAATCCGTGAGTCACTTACTCAATCAGTAAATCAGTCAGTCAGTCTGACCGTTCGTAAGTCACTTGGTCAATCAGTCAGTCAGTCTGACAGTCCGTGAGTCACTTACTCAATCAGTCAGTCAGTCTGACGGTCCGTAAGTCACTCAGTCAATCAGTCTGACAGTCCGTAAGTCAGTTAATTAGTCAATAATAGAGACGTAAAGGAAAACTAAAGTAATTAAGGATTACTTTCGACACAATTGAAAATTTCTCCACAATCTGCGCTGTCTCTGTATCAGCGTTTCACTCAAGAGCAGGGTTTGAGCTAGTATTTGATCACTGGGGGACAATTTGTCCCCTTAGCAAAAATTTTGGAGGACATTTTCATTTTTAGGGGGACAGACATATTAATTTTTATTCGACATTTTCTTTTTTTACATTCATACAGCAAGCCGACAAAAACATTTCTTTTTCCCTGATCCTTGTAAGACTTGTAATACAAGAAAAGTGATACAAAAAAGAAAAGTTGTTATTGATGTCAAATTTCTTTTTCTCGTCATATTTAAACAGAGGACTATGCTTTATACTTCAAAACATTACACAGCAGAATCTCGTCCCGGCATCGCTTTGTAAACTTCAATTCCTTTCTTAATCACCGTTTCTTAAACGTAAATGTACTAATTCTTCAGTTGGTTCTAGCTCAAACATCAAGGGCTGTAGAAAAGAGTTGCTGCAAAGTTGAGGTTCTAAAATTTGTACACCCTTCTGCCGTTGCAAAGGGGTTTGTCTTCTTAGATTTCCGACAAAAATAGCAGAACATCGCCTCTTTTTCATAGCGCAACCATGTGTGATCTCGCAACCAAGTTTTCAGGAAAGTTCGTGATTTTTTCGGTTTCCTTCGATCCTCATTCGTTTCTTCCTGATTAATACACTGTTCTTCTTCTGTATCATTTTTCTCTGATTCACTCTGGCTTCGATTCCGAGCGAAAAAGCTTTCTAATGTTCGAACACGTTTTCGATGTGACATGTTACTGCGCTTTTCACAAATATGCGAATTTTGAAGTTCAAAAGCCAACTGACGATTGCGTTTTTTGCTGCCGTCAATCATCTTAACGGAACTCTTAGGAAACAAAACTTTACTTTCACGGGTTCAAAAGGTCATGGTTTGTGATTTGTGATTGGTGGATTTCAATCCGTTTCGTGTGTTTCTGTGTTTCAAGGTTCGTTGCTTGTGATCGTAATTATGATTGAGGGCAGCGAAAAACGTAATTGTGAAGGCGGCTTTTGAACTTTTGAGTTCGCATGTTTGTAAAAAGCGTAGTAAAGATTGCCACGTGCGTTCACCACGCTTGGTTGAGCATGAGACGTACGTGTTCAGTAAAGTGTGACTGAAACATGACTTTGGAATGAACTTTAAACGTGCAAGAAAATATACTTTCCACGTTCTGTTTTAGCTTGCAATTTCTGTACCGAGATAAAACTCTTCGTGTGTGCTTTCTTTCGAGTTTTTTCCCTAAATTTTGAAGGGGACAAATTGTCCCCTTGACCGTTTTTAAGGGACAATTTCAATTGCAGTGCGGGATTAGCGCAATGGCGCGGCCTGGCTCAAACCCTACTCAAGAGGATTTCTCTACCAGTCTACTTCCCACTTAAGCATTTACCAGTACATACCTGGGTACAGAGCCACTAAAGCTGTGTAGTCTTGTAAGTTTTCGAACGCCGTTTACCATGGAACGCGACCTTGCTCGAATCCCTTCTCTTTTTGATTTTGTACCAGGCAGGGCATCCACTTCTAACTGCTTATCTACAAATAAATGGCAGAAGGAAAGAGAGAAGTAAGAACTTTTCTAGAAGCATTTGACTAAGAAAGAGCTATACAAACTTGACGAAACCACCCACGCATTCTACAGGTCTTGCGAACATTGAGCGCAACATAATCGGCAAGGTTTTGTAAATAAAACAAACTACCGTACATTACAACTTGAAATCTTTTAAGCATATGGGCAGACAATGGGGTGGGTAAGTGGGAAAAGGTATTTAATGCCATTAAATACCTTTCCCCACTTACCCATGGGGGAAAAATGCCACAAAAACAACTTCCTCTCAAAGCGGTGGCCCCATTCCGTCAACGGAAAAAAACTCCATATGCCAGTCATGTTACCTGTAAATGTGTTATAGACCCAGGCCGACACCTGGTTTCCAGACTGGTTGCTTTCGGAAAAGTCTTTCAATTCTCTATTTAACAATCTCTTAAACTTATTCGACGCCATTTCACTGACGGACGTGTGTGTTTGAAGTGTTTCCAGTTGATACAGCACCCAATCCAGCTCGTCCAGGGTATTATTAGCCAACTGAAAGAAAAGCAAAAAAGTTTCAGTTGATTTAGTTACGGGCGTCGAAGTTCACGCATGCCCAGTGACAGTGTGTGGGTTGAGTTTGAGGAAGTAAAGCAAAATAAGTTTCAGTTGATATGGTTACGTGCGTCGAAATGCACTTGGGAAGTTTCGAGAGCACTCCAGAAGCTAGAGTTGCTCTCGGCTCTTCAAACTTTCCGCGTGCTTCATATCTCGATGAACGCACGCTGACGTATGAACCAATTGTTAATGGTTAACTGATCAACACGTTCACACCGAACAACAAGAGCTGACAACAATGCAGCGTCATGTTCATGCTCAGTCTCGCGTTCGTGTAATTGCAATTGACGTTAAATGTTACAACATCATACTGCCACAACATGAAACTCTTCCGTGCGTTTTGGTTTCTGCCGCCATTTTGAATGTTTTATTAAACACATTTGTTTAACTGCCTCGCGAGGTAGTTTTGTTAAACACGGTTTTAGACGTGTTTTGTTAAACGCGCCCGCTGAGTGAACGGCCAGTCTTATTATCAAAACAAATTTTAAACATGTTTAAGCTTTGGTGTGAACGGGTATTAGTTTAATATTCAATTTTCATTAATACTTAAACTCCCAGGAATAATTAACATGAAACTTCTCCCTATAATATCCAAACATTAACCAGTAAACAGGTAACGAGAATACTTAAAATTATCAGGTAGAAGTTGTTTCCTTGATCTAACATCAAATTCTTGTAACTAATTAACAAGGAAATGTGTAGCAGCTAAAGGGGAGAATTAATAATCATATATTGGGAGATAGAAGGATTACCTTTTGATAGCCATCATCTCTTGGTAAGTGAAGAGAACCTTGAGAGAGAAAACGCAATTAAACTTTGGTTAGAGAACAAAACATTGCCGCAAATGCCAGATATAAACAAAACTATCGGGAAAGTTTTAAAGAATTAAATTCTTAACCGTTTGTACAGTATTGTGCCTAAGTAATGCAAACGAAAGCGCGAATTTTGTGTTTTGCAATCGCGAAGTTACATTGAAAGTTCGTGCGAAGACCCGCACCTTCCATTTGCGTCATTTGCCGAGAACGTAATATGCTAGATTTGTTTTCGCTACCAAACATGAGAAGCATCTTTATACTGACTTTTGTTCGAAAGTTCGCTTTAAAAAGACAAAAGAAATACTCCGCGACATGCTCGGTCTACTTGTCATATCCTGAAGACAAAATGTTTCAGACGCTCTCGTGAAACGTATCCCTATCAGCCAGCTGGCTGTCTTTTCACCGCCACTCTTCATATTAGATGAACACCCAGCGACTGATTGATTACCTGAAGACATTCCTGAGCCATTCAGCACATCTTGGGCTAAATTGTTGTTTCGTAAAATGTGTGATCCTACAGACCCTCTCCTCCTTAAATCAAGAATAAAATTAGAAATGGTTTGATGCTACTCTGGTTTGCAGATTTAATGAATGTAACCGAAGAAGTTACAATTCATAGACCCAACGTTTCGACACTCCTGTCTAGTGCCTTCATCAGGGGTGATCTAAAAGCTGCAACAAGAGGTCCTTTCATATGATCACTATAATTAGCAGCCTTTTTTTTTTACACGAGGTGTAAATAGGCGTCAGGAAGCAAACCGCCATCGTCACGATTTAAAGGAGCGTTGGCGGAGTTAGTATGCCACGCCTCCAAACAAAGGCGCTGGTGGTAACGCCGATTAGTGGTGATAATTTTAGAATTATCCCACCCAATTGTATGGTTAGTTAGGCACGTGTGCTCCGATAAAGCTGAATTTTCCTTTTGTAAAGGAAAACCGCTTTTTGGTGCTCTTTTAACCGTGTACCAAACTGACGTTTGGTCTGTCCGATGTATTCGTTGTCACAGTCATTGCAAGGATTAGAATAAATGACGTCGGTTCGTTGTTCTTATGTGACAGGATCCGTAGGTTTGGCGAAAATATGCTCCCAAGTCTGAAAAGGTTTTTGAGCAACTTTAACGTTGTGGCTATTCAAAATTCTCTCGGTGGGTTCTGTAACACCCTGTATGTAAGGAATAACAGCAAAACCATTCGCTGGTTCCCTTTCATCAAGAGCGTTACTATTTGTAACTGGTTTTTGGCAGTTACGGAGAAAGTTTTTGTATAGCGTTCTTTAACGTTGTGGCTATTCAAAATTCTCTTGATGGGTTCCGTAACACCCTGTATGTAAGGAATAACAGCAAAACCAGTCGCTGGTTCCCTTTTATCAAGAGCGTTACTATTTGTAACTGGTTTTTGGTAGTTACGGAGAAAAGTTTTTGGCAGTTACGGAGAAAACTTTTCTGGTTTTGCTGTTATAAACTACTAACTCCGCCCACGCTCCTTTAAATCGTGACGATGGCGGTTTGCTTCCTGACGCCTGTTTACACCTCGTCTAAAAAAAGGCCGCTAATTAGATATAAAAGGACCTCTTGTTGCAGCGTTTAGATCACCCCTGATGAAGGCACTAGACAGGAGTGTCGAAACGTTGGGTCTATGAATTATAACTTCTTCGATTACATTCATTAAATCTGCAAACCAGAGTAGCATCAAACTATGTCTGATCGTCCACCTGGTTGCCGTGTGAACTTTAATATAAGAATAAAATTGATATTATTTTGAACCAATTATTAATAGGACAGCATAAGCAAAAATTCAAATAGAATAGTCATTATGATACAAATTAAATTTTTGGTAGAGTACGGTCACACTGATCTTTGTCAAAGAAAATTTTTTGTTGTAAAATTGCTTTCAGTGCTAACACTGTTTCCAGGATAATTCAAACAAACTTAACCATACTTCCATTTGTGTCGAAAGTAAACTTCCGTGTTTCTTTAGTTCGCTCTGCGTTTGAGCCAGAAACTAGCGCCATCCTCTCAACCAATCAGACGCGGATGACCAATCGTGATGAGTCATCCGCCTCTTCCCGCGCTTTTTGCAGTTTCCTAGTGTTACTCAGAATTCTCATTGGCTAATGATAATGTGAATCAACCTTTTGATTGGCCGTTTTGATTACTTTGGTTTTGCTTTTTAGCACTCAATTGAAAACTGCGCCATGGGGAGCAAACAACGAGAGGAAATAATTACTTGCGTACCATTCGATTTACAAACAAACGCAAACAAAAGTGACAAAGAATTTAGAGGGAGTTCATTGCTCATTTCTAGTTATCTGATTGGCCAGCTTTCTGTAAGTTACCCCTACAGAGAAGTTGCCCTGTCACAGTGGTACATGTATATAGTACACAAAGCTATGAGTCCTGCTGGAGTGTTACAAAACTTACTTTTCTTTTTTAGCATTGGTCAGTGACATGAAATTGTTTCTGACATTTCGCAAACTTGAGAGAATCTACAGAGAAATGGACACAAAGATAGCAAAAAAATGTAAATAACATGTAACTAGCTTGTAAATATTCAATGTAATAAAAATAACGTTGTTACAATAATTCCTTCATGACAAAGGCATACAATTTTGAGCCAAGATCAATATTGTTCCAATATAGACATTAACCAAAACAAATTTTGTCATGACTGAGATAAACAATTTTTCACCCTCTGAGAGTTTTCCTCCTTATCTTTTCCTTCCCTTGGCCCAACCTTGCAGCAAGATGACGATGCCACTAGAAGTGCACCTTTGCAGCACCTGCACCAGAGCCCCTTGACCCTCTAACTCCCAGATCGAATTTGTCATTCTCCTTACTATCAACCATACAATTCTTGTAATGTTAATTCAGAGAATTTAGTATTGGATCAACTAATTATCCCCAAATTGATATTTTTCTTTATTCTCATCACTTATCTGGTTGATATTGTAATGATATTGTAAGGAGAAATTCTGTCTTGGTCACTCATAGGAGTGAAAGGGTTTAGAATAGACATTAGGAGATTCTGTCCAACAGTTACTGGATGCTACAATTGAAATGATAGTCCTATATCTAAATGGGAGAAGCCCACTAAAAAAACTATTTAAAAGAGCATTTTTTGTTTTACTTTTCTCAGTATTAATTCATGTCTTCCTTTGATCATGGACTATTTATACATCTGTTGTTTAAAGTGTGATTCCTCTTCCCTCTCTTATAATTGTATTACTTTTGGTTTACTGTATGAAAAAATGTAGTTTGAACTTAAAGGCATTTAATTATACCCTTCTCCATTTTCTTTCTCGTTTTGTAATTATTCAAAATGCTGTACTAGTTGAAATGGAGGAAATCAAAAATACAAAAAAGTTTGACTCCAACCCTTTGACCACTAAGAGTGACCAGCATCTAATTTCTCCTTACAATATCACCTGTGAATCACACATTAAGGTCATGAGAATTAAGGAAATGATCACCAACTTAAGATGGTCTTGATTGTTAAACAAATTCTCCTTATCAGCACTTAAGGTAATATATGGGGACAGTATGGAGAATATGCATACTGATGTTAGGGTGAAACAGGTTGAATCCTGGATAAGGGTCAACCTTCATTTAAATAACTGCACCCAAAGATATGTTACAGATTTGAACAACAAAAGCACATCTAGGTGAGAAAAGAAGTGAAACAGAACTTAGCCATTGCTATTAGCATTATCCTTTGAATAAGGAAAAAAAATTCTTACCTGTGCAAAAGGAGTAACTAGCTCTTCTACTCGAGTTCTAAAAAAAACAATGGAAAATGGTGCTGTTAAGTCCACAGTTAACAATAAAACAGTGAAACTTTTGTTTTACTCTGTACTCATTTCACTCTGAATTCTCATAACCAGAATCTTCAAATTCCAATTGTTTTCTTTCTCTCATTAATTGTTGAAAGAAAGCTTGATCAAATTCCATATACTGTTGATGATTAGAAGTTTTTTTTGAAGATCTCAAGAAAAGATTGAAAAATTTCCATTCATGCAGTTATAAAAATACCATGAGTTACCATTAGTATAGGAAACAAAATGAATTATAAAAACAACACAAGTTGATTGAAGCCTACAGTGTTAGATTTTCTTGGGAAGTGCTGAACTTGGCAAAGCTAAGAAATGGAGTCATATCAGTAAGTGTTAGTACAGCTGGGAAATTTTTTTTGTAGGTCTTACACTTCAGTAATTCTGGTGGAATATATAAACACACATATACAAATATTTGAGACACACAGGGCAGCCAAAAGTTCAAATGATGCAGATTTCTATTGAACATGGGCCTTTTCAATTCATTAATTGCAGTCAGCATAAAAGAGAGGAATGTATTTGCCCCCTGCATGCAATCAACGTTTTTAAAATATCCATACAGTAGCTCTCTACTATTACAAATGACATCAAAGCACACCATGTAGAGATGTCAATCAGCTGGTCGTATGGCCTACAATGGCCTTCATTCCATCTGCTCACATGCATTAGCCAGAAAACTTGGATCAAGTTTGCCAAGTTAGGGCTAATCTGTGTGACATTACATATACAGTACCAGTAACTGAAAACAACTAAGAAAGTTTTCATGGTTTGACTCCTTCACTTTGCTTTTCTCCTCCTCAGGCAAATTTCTACCTAAGAGTTCTTTATTTTGGTGTGAGGGGACTTACTAAAAAACATCTGTTAAACAAAACAGGTTTGTCATTTTACATAATTTTGTATGTAGATTTTTCACAAAAAGTTTGAATGTGGACTCCCAGCTTTCCTGGGTCACACCCAAACAGACATGTATCAAGATAATTCAGTGTTCTCTCTTACTTTAAGCATGGCAGGTAAAATAAATTTTCACACCGGTAAAGCAATCCTTTTACATGTTGAATTTTCAAGAATTCCATGCAATTTTAGACGGTAATAAGAGGTACAACAGGCGGAAAAGGTGGTAAATGTTACCAGTTACTGCCTGAAAAGGAGAACACTGTAATTTGAGTTGATGATATAAATTGGCCACCATGAAGACTTTCTAAGCTGATGTTTCAAGTAATAGGGTTCCCTCATTCATAGCACCACAGTTTCTTTAGAAACTTATCCCCTTCATACAAGCATCAAACATTGGTTTTTTAAGATTAGAAGTGGTCACAAGCAGTTCACTAACCCTTCGCTGAAGGAGTGATGCCTTGAAGTTACACATTTGGATGCTAGCTCAAACTCGCTGTCAGATTTATAAAGGAAGGACCCTCTCCGTGTGGGAACTGGGAGTGTTAGTCTGTCTCCATCAGATCTCTCAACTGAGTCTTCACCTTGGGAAGAATATTTTGTCCGTTCACGCTTCCTTGGAAAGCTGCAGCATAACAAAAAAATATGATATGAATTCTCAAGCTCTCAAAGTCAATTGCTTCCAACACAGAATGTGACATCAAACAATAACAACAAGGAAATCAACATAACAACGAGGCTTAATCCAGGAAAGGGTACTTCTTCATTTGACCTATCAGATTTCCACAGACCTAAATTTTTCAATTCTCTAAATATAGAAATCCAAAATATTGGCTTTCTTTTCCTGTTAAGTCAACAAATGTTGCAACACTATTCCTAAGTTGACTCCCTTCTTGTTTTTTGTTTTTTTTTTTTCAACTTTTCTTGAACTGCTTATCTATATGATTGTTTGAGTCCCTAATAATGTTGTTGTTATTGTTTTCTTTATGTGTGTATGCCTTAAATTTTTGTACCTAAATTATGCCATATAACTTATATTGCACTTTGTATATAAGCCATTAGCCTCTTGGTTTCTCTACAGGTTTCCTCAACACAATTTTCAGTTATATTATATTCAGGTTTATGAACTTACTTTATTTTTACTGATGTGTTATAATTACAAAATGGCAAAATAATCAAATAAACAACAAAATTAAAAAAAATAAGGATCAAATTCAACTTCTCCCATAATGTTGCTCTAGAATCTCACATTTAGGTTTAGAGAATAAAGAAAATGATCCCAAAATAGTAAAGATATTGATTGTCAAACAAATTACTTTTCTAAGTACCAAAGAAAATGTATTGAGAACAGTATACTGATCAATGTCATGGCATAAAGGGTAACAAAGTAATGTTTTAGACTGGAAGAGTGAATGCATCCAAAGCTTTGAATGTTGGTTGGTGCAGTTTTGGTGTTACTATAAATGAATTATCACACAACCAAACTGATAACTTATTTCACTAAGAAATACCTTTGTGACCAAATTTGATGGCAACATGCAATCTTATAGTTAGGGAAGAAAGATAACAAACACACATGTATTATTTCCCAATAACTAGGGGATATAGGAAAGGCTGGCAATATATCTGTAAATGGCTGCTTAATTTCAGGCTGTGCAAGTCCTTTAAATTACACTGGTACATTGTTGCAGTAAAAGTCAAGATGCTTTCTTATTCATGTTGGTAATTATATGGCCTAGTAGAGTTAAGCATTCAGTAGAGAAAAAGATCACAATCCCAATGCAAGCTATAATCTTCAACTAAATTGAGATTAACTAAAAGGACATCCATGCTGATGAGTTTGAAAGTAGAGGGAAATAATAAGCAGCCATGTTATTAGGAAAAATAAGTTGTTTTGCTAGATTTCATGCTATAGAGGTCAACTACTGGAGATATATAAAATTTCCTATCAGTTCCATGTGTTGCTGGTAAAGTATTCTACTCAATGCTGAAAAATGGCTGGACTTCTTCCATGGTATTTTGGTAACAGTATATACATATACATATAACTTTTTATCAACAATTATGGTTACTGTACAAATAAAATGAGGTGAAAGAAGCCCACTAAAGATGGGGAACTAGCCAGCAGTTTTGGCCAGCTACATTCTATTCCAATGGAAAGCTCTAAAGTAAATAATGTAAACTCTTCCTGAAAAAAGAGCATTTCTTTAAAGTAACAACCACTTGAAAGTAGTGGGATAAACATTTATTTCCCAGTTTATGACAACCGCAGACACTTGTATAAAACTTCCTACTTCCCATGGTGTATTTTTGTTTCATTTTACAAGGAGAGGAAAAAAAAGAACACCTTAATAAGGTACCCATTAAAGTTCATCCACAGTATGTGCAGATGGACCAAAGAGCAGAAAACATTTTTGTATTTCCCTTGAAAGATGGGGGTGTACTGATGAGTGAATTAATCATTGCAAAAAAAAAAAAAAAAAAAAAAAAAAAAAAACTGAAAAATTTGGGTGTAATTTTTTAAATTGAAATTTCTGATTTCAATTATCAAAGAGGCTGCATTAAAATTCTTTCCAGCCAAAATACTACCAATAGTAAATAAAATATTAAAAAATCGAGAATGGTCTTGTCTTTTATGTATCAATCAGATTTCTCTGCAATGCTGAATAGAATTGACAGCAAACCACAAGGAATTTCAATTTATCTTAAATAAAATAAAGTATCTGGAGTAAATCATTCAAATGCGACAGATGTGTCATGTAGTCTGTCCTCTGAGTAAACATTATATGTACGTTACATTTAAAAGACCAATTATCGCCTAAACTTCCCACCAAAAGGTTAACTTCCTCAGTGTGGATTACTTCCATATACTGTACGAGATAGTCCAGTCTACAAAGCACTGAATTTACAAGCATCTCTCCATCAGACTAGGTTGAAAAAGCAACCTGTGAGTCATAGCATAATAAATAATTACATTTATGCCAAGATATTTCCATACTCACTTTATATTGTAATCTGTGTTAATCCTTAACACTCCTTGACCCTTCTGGTTTATTCCTACCAAAGGTTTTTTTTTCATCTGACCTAGCTTTATTTTACGCTCTCCTTAACAAAAAGTGTGCCGGATACACACTGTGATGAAGTTGGCTAAGTTACATTCATTTCATGAGAATTACATTCATGGCTACTGTAATATGAAAAACGTCTCCTACACTGCACATTCTATTTACACTTTCCGTCTAAAGATTTAAACATCATCGCTCTGCACTGTCTGCCATAAAAACCATCATAGTTTTAGCTCTAAAAACTTTTTGTCATTGAACAATCCTGTGTAGATTTTTGTTTCTCAATCTCCTAATCAACTTCAAACCGGAAAATGTAATGATAATGTAAGAGTGAATTCATTTATAAAAATCTATTTTGAAAAGATATACAGAGCCTTTAAGGGTTAAAAATATTCTACACAGTGCTTTAAGAAAAAAAAATTAAAAAACACTTGTCTATGTTATCTTTCCAATCATATTTGTGATTTTATGCCCTGCTAAAATCAGTGAAAATAAATTCCCTTTTGGTAAAAGGCTGAAATTTGCTTCATGCATATGGCCTACTTTTACAAAAATTTTTACAATTTAAATTTTATCTGACTATGTTAAGCAAGCCTAGTAATATACACTGTTAATATAACCCCTCTTCTGGTGCCTTGTCTTTACAAATCAATCAAAAGCAGTTTTATCAACTCTGTTGTTTCTGCTTGAGAAAACCCAAGGTTAAGAGAAGTCACAAAAACAGGAAGAAGAACAAAAAATCTATTGCATTCATCAGTTGACAGTTAGAAGTGCAATTACAATGTTTTCTGTAGGTGTATTATTAACACATAAAGATTTCTTCGGGTTGATTGTACATAAATTATCAAAAACTCACCAATCAACTTGAATCAAAACCTACCCCAACAGTTCAAAAGGAGATATTCAATGGAAAAGGTGTGAAATATAGTTGTATACCACAAGATCAGTGAGTTTAGGTGCTGATTTAAGAAATAAAAAAAAAATTTCATGTGAAGTATCTGAAAAAATGATTAGTCTTCACTTGAATTTATCTTAGTCTCTACTAGCTACTGTTACAATATTTGCTGTCTTATCTGACCATACACCAATGAAAAAAAAATTTTCCAGAAGTGTATGAATATGACTTACTTTAAGTGTGATTTATGACAAAATTATTGAAAAATTCTCAAAGGATTACAACATATGTTCATTCTCAACAGTAAGGAATGGAAGATACCTTGAATCCACTTCTACAACATGTGATAAATTAGCTCACACTGTGGGCAAAGACTAATAAACAAGTGCAAGTGTTTTCATTCATATAACTGCAATGCTGATTTTACAACTTGATTTCTAAAACTCTAAAGACCGAGAAAAAGATATTTGAAATACAAATGGAGAGTTATATTTAGTGCACAACGTGAAAACATGTAGTTAATGTATGTTATTTCTGAGCAAAATGACTGGCATTGTCAAAACATTCCAAAAATTCTCAATCTTCCATTTGAAATAGCATTCATGTTTGAGTGTTAAATTTCAGACAATAAGGATAGAGCTCTGGAGAATCTGTCAATAACACTGTGAATGTTCATTTACAGCAAGTGAAGTACTAGAAATTGTGTAGTGTGCCAAATCAAATTAGATTAAAAATATGAAATACAGTAGAACACATGCACATTTACCTCAGACAGAGAACTTTCATTAGTAGCAAGCTAGGCACTGGCAAACATAAATGTCTTGCTAAAATGCAAATGATCTCAGCAAAAGACAACAGAAACCTTTACGGTACTGTTGTGTTTAACATATGTCACTGTGTTCATTGAGGTGAATCATTTGAAGATCATAAGACAGGCTGCTTACACTATGTGAAAATATAGCAAAATAATCCTGACAGATGTACAATTTTGAACAAAGGAGGCATATTTTTACCTCCATGTAGATACAGATGACTCAAGGTTTTATATAGTTTACATAATTATGTAGATGTTGGGCATTTGTAACATGAAAAGTCCATGTTGGCTATATTTCACACAAGACATTGAAAAATGAAATATAGTACACTGAATTTCCCAGCATAATATTCTATTTACTAGTACTAGTACATTTTTATCTTGATTTCAGGCTAGATATCTAACTTCATATCAAAAGGTAAAAGCCATTACCATAAACTCAGAACACATCCAATTTAACTGTTATAATTACACATCAACCTATTTCTCAAGAAACGTTCTTCCTCAAAATACTTTGATTTCATGATAAAAATAACAATATTGTGATACATTTTTTTTAGGAAATCCTTCCAGCTTTTTAAACTTGTATCAATCAAATGACAGCAACATAATTTTCACTCAACTGTCAGCCATGTTTTGTAAGGAATAACAATCTAAACACACGCCATTCGTTGAGGATTTGAGCAGATTTCTGTGAGTTAGCTAGACTGTTTCTGGGCTAACAAGCACTTGTTACAGAAAAAATACCATCTCTAAATGCAGAATAATCACATAGCAGGGGAACAGAAGCAAGAAAGCAGATTAAAACTCATAAATACCATGTTGAGGATTGTTTCTTTGAACCAACAGCTCCCATCTTTCTGTTTTCTATTAGCATTTGACCAGGTGTTTAAGACCATTTCCGTGCCCATTTTCGGTTTTTTGAAAATTTCCATTGAACATTTTGCTTTAAAAATGCCCAGTTACAGTCCTAGAAAGGATGAAGTCGAGGAAAACCCTGTAATACTCATTCTGCATCAATTTTTTTGCTTGAATATTTTGCTTTGAAGATAATATATTGAGTAGAAACTACAGACCAATCCATATATGGTAATGCCCCATTGTTTTAAATAATGCCAGCTGTGTTTGAAGTCCAAACGCAGAGTCTTGCATAAATTAACCAAAATTATTATTATTATTATTACAATGTCAAAAATATTTCACAGGTCAGTTTTTGTCTAGAACCTACCAAATTCATGAACAATATTTTCACTAACCAATAAAAAATTCTAACAATATTAAAATTAATCCATCAATGGCTGATAAAAAAGAGTGTATTGAAAAATAAATCTTAACCCATCTACTTGCTTTTTCATGCTGGTAATATTCAACAAGCAAAATTTAGAATTTCCAATAAAATTTTGAAGACAGAGAGATGAGTGGTTACTTGAAATTTATTTGCCTCTGTCGGTTTACAACTGCTGAGAAACAATCAATCAACATGTAACATAAAGAAACGCAACCACTATCACATGTATTATTAATAACTTCAAGTGTCATAGCAACTTGGGAGTTTTGACTGGAATTTTGAAAGTGTTTTTTTGTTCTTTTTTCAATGATCTGGGCCAAGGACATTTTTTTATTCAATGCATGGATGTCTACATCGCAGCTTAGACAGGCAAGAGTAATTATTTTAAGTTAACACACATCTAAAATCATGATTAAACCAAAGAGACTATTTAAGATCTCATGATGTTGATTGCAAAGGGAGTATGTAAATTTTACCTCTGAAAAGAATGAATTGTTTACATTCAACAGAGTGCAAATTACTGAAAAACATTCAAGAGACTTTAAGCCTTAGAGTTATCAATGGGTCGGCCAATTAAGAACTGGTAAATACTACAGCAAAAAAAAAAGAAAACATGCCCTTGTTCTGTTGAAGTGGTGTAATGTTCTGATTTGCTGCCTTATCTAGAGATACATGTGTTCTTATTTCAAATCCAATTAATCTTGTTCCAGTTGAAAAACAAGCTGACAATATTTCTACAGTTGCCTGTAAAAAGCTCCATCAATTAACAAATGGAACATTCATAAAGATGAGTCTAATCATTGCTCCTCTTGTTTTGAGAGTAGTTTTGGATCCCCTGGGACTTAAATTAAAATAACAAAAGGTACCAAATTACTTTTAATCTCACGTACAAAAAAGCACTTTCTTTGCTTGTTCTGATCAAGACAAACCATGCGTAAAACAAAGCAAATCAAAACAAACTGCAAAAAAATTCACATTCCCTTTGCAGCAGACAATCAGAAGCTTAATTCTGATGAAATTAAAAAAAAACACATTCAAATTGGAAAATGATTACAAAGTCATTTTGACCCAAATTGTTATGTAATCAAGAGCCTATTTAACATTATCAACAAGTAGTTTTCTATGAATGAACACAACACCATTTCAACTAGAAATAAGTTGGCAAATATAATTAAGTTGGAGTAAGACTCTCTAAATTCACATGTCATATCTTTCAATTACCAGCAAAATCCAAAGCCCAAACATATACATGTGCATTGGAGTTAATTCATATAGATTCATGTTGGATTACATAACTTCAAAGAACCTTTAGATGAGCTCTCGATACATATCAAATGAATAAAACAGTACTGCAGTGTTAGCAGACCTTGCAAAAAAAAATTAAGAGGTCATTAAAACAGTTGATTTTTCCCACATTTCTGCACGATCTGTGTAGAAATTGCACTAAAAAGAAACATCTCAACATAGGAATGTATTTTGAATCAGTTAAATGCAAACAAAGATTGTTATATAAACATTGCACTCTGACAAAATTAAATAATCACTCTTTATGCCATTAGAACTGGATTAGACAAAATGGAATCTGCCCTTCACAAAATCTGCTTTGTTTAACATGAGGTGAGAAGAGGTCAAAACTTAACCCTTTAACTCCCTTGAGTGACCAAGACAGAATTTCTCCTTACATTATCAATACATTATCAACCAGACAAGTGATGAGAATAAAGAAAACTATCAATTTGGGGATAATTAGTTGATCCAATACTAAATTCTCGTAACTAACATCATGAGAGTTGTATAGTTCACAGTAGGGAGAATTACAAATTTGGTCTGGGAGTTGAAGGATTAAGAAGTAGGTCCAAACTTCATCCTGTGCTTGTGAAAACAAACGAGAGCCTATTTTGGCAAATTACCGGAATTACTTTTTCACCAAAGCTGGGATTAACAAAAAGTCTGTGGGACAAACACAAATCCAGAAATAGAATCATTTAAGTTGCGTTGTTGTTTTTTTTGTTCAGACAAATGAAATAAAAAAGACAGCTTCCTGTTTTCTTTAAGACTGACTACTCTTAACCCTTTAACTCCCAGAAGAGATTAACATGTAACTTCTCACTATAATATCAATATATTATCTTGCAAGCAGGTAATGAGAATATCTAAACTCCTATATGCCTTCCCTTGCACCAGCAAGGTACTTAATCCACAATTTATAACAAGCTCTCTTCCTCATTCACCAGGGCATACCATACCCTGAACTTCAGCCACATTCCCAGGAGAAGGCTTGTGCCAGCATAAAGTAACATAAAATTCACCCCTGACATTTCCTAAACTGTGATAAGCCCACCTCTTAGGGTATGGTTTATAAACTGAAATCACTGTGACTGCAATATCACTTGGGATCTCCAATCTAGTGTACAAAGTTAGCCAGTTCTTTTACTGTTCAAATTAACCCTCAAGATCTGATAAGCAATTCTCCCTTTTGGCTGTGAAAGGTTTGGTTGTGAAAATGTTAAGGAGAATCTCTAGGCATTTGAGGATAACACACTCCAGCTGATGAAGTTGCCTATTTTTGTTACCTTTTTTGTGTATAATATATTGATATTGGAAGGAAAAGTAACAAGATGATCACTCCTGAGAGACAGAACATGAACAATGCACCAAAAACTATGCGTGAGGTAACTTTTTTTTCAAGTACCTCAAGTAAATCCCACCCCAAGATTGCTTTGATTTGTTTTGTTTGATGTAGTAAATAAAAAATTCAAATTCTTTACTTCTGACAACCTGTCAGTCTTGCTTACTGTTTGCAAAATTCCTGTACTAAGCAGAAACGTTAAAAGCGGATGGAAACAAATCCAAACCCTACTTGTTAATCAATTGAGAAATAACTGTTGTCAGTGGCATAACCTAATAGTTTAACATGACAATTCATTAGTACTAACTACATCTACCTTGAGCTAATTTAAAGCCTGCCTATGTCTATAGCTACAGTGCAATTTTTTCTGTTTACATGATAAACATGACTGTTGTGTCCCTCAGAAAAATGCACATTTTTAAAACCAAATTTGTACCATCCTAATCCTAAACCCTTAAAGACTTTGGAAATAATTTCACATAATCTGACCAAGGTTTAAAGAAATTTAATCCCTTGATACTCTTGGTATGATAGCAATTACAATTTCAAAACTTTCTCAATAACACACAACCTGATTTCCCTCCACTTGACAGCAGAGGAGGCAACAGCAGGATCTAGTGTGCAGATGTGTCAAACTAGAGTATTCTGACTCTCTTTTATTGTGCAAGACACATAATCGCCCTTGCAGGAAACTGCAGAATGTAAGAATGGCAAGACAGAAAAATACAGCAAAGATGAATTGAACTGCAATGTACAAATTACGGGAATTAGCTAGCATTGTTATAAACAAGGGCAATAATAATGTACAGGAAAAAAATCATGTGCTTCAGATTGGCTGAAAACAAGTGCATTCTTGTGTAACATGAGAGCAAATTACAAATAGCCTGCATATGCTTTCAAAATTTCCATTGTCTGGACTCTCAGTAATGTTTTTTCATGAATATGATTAACAAGTAATAACATGATTTCTCTTGCAATTTTGTGTAATAAGCGCTAGTAAATTTTTCAAAGACTGCAAATTCCACTTACCCTACAGGCTCATGCAATTTTGCTGTCTTTGAAAAAATTTATTCCTGCTCATTAACACCAAATTGCACTTGAGATCTTATTACCTATACTAATTGACAATTATTCACCAAAGTGGAGGTGAATGGTGGTGGACATTTACTGAGCTGCGAGGTTAATATTCACCACTTTTAATGACACAGATTGTGAGGTGAATAACTGTTGTAGTCTATACCACACAGATACAAAAAAATTAGTTTATTTCTTTCAATATACCAAAACATGGTCTGAAATGAAACTGTTGACGCATTATTTTGTTTAAGTTGCTTCTCAGAGGTGAATAGTACTCTTCTATTCACTTCCAAACTAGCCAATCAGTGTGTGCAAAAAGCTCTATTAACCTGTGTGGTATATATGAACACTGATTAACCCTTTGAATGCCAAAAGCGATCATCATATAATTTTATATAAAATCACAGCGTTTTCCAAAAGCACTAATGGGTTGTGTTTTCGTGGACTATTTGTTTCTTAAGTGCCAGCAAGAGGGTATCTTAAAAGACAAAGAAGTAAAACACCTGTCTTGATCTGAAATAAATTTAAACATTTGCTGTTGACCATGTTTTTTTAAGGTTGGCTACAACAGGATGGACATTTAAGTCCATCGCAGGGTTGTTATGTTTCATTCACACTTTGCAGTCAAACATTGACCTTTTCACTCTGAAGACCTCATTAGTAACCCTCCTTACTTTCAGCCATACAATTTGCATGAAGGTAACCCTTTCACTCCCAAGATCTTATAAGCAATTCCCCTTACTGTCTACCATACAATTCTTATGATGTTAGTTCTAAGAATTTTGTGTTAGATCAACAAATACAGTGTTCTCCCTTATTTCAAGCATGACAGGTAAAATAAATTTTCAAAGCGATAAAGCAATACTTGTTGAGTTTTCAAGAATTCCAAGCAATTTTAAGTGGTAATAAGAGGTACTACTGGCAGTAAATGTTACCGGTTACTGCCTGAAAAGGAGAACACTGCCAATAGTCCCCTAATTGATATTCTTCTTTATTCTCATTAACTGCTTGCTTGATAATGTATTGATACTCTAAGGAGAAATTCTGTCTTGGTCACTAATGTGGGATTTAAAGGGTTAATCCAGGGAATTTGGTATTGGATTAACTAATAATCCCCTGGTTGATATTCTTCTTTATTCCCATCACTTGTCTGCTTGATAGTGTAGGGAGAAATTCTGTCTTGGTCACTTATAGTTTATCATGCTCCTTGGAGAGGTATTATGAGGGTAGATCTAGATTGCTTCACAAAAACAAATCACAATGGCCTTTCCACAGTGGCATGAATTCCACTATATTTCCTAGAATGTTAATTTGGAGAATTTGATATTGGATCAAATGATCATCCTGTTGGTGATATCTATCCTGAATTCTCATCACCAAGTTTGATTGATACTGTATTGATTTTGGAAGGAGAAATTACATTTTGGTCATTCCTGACTACAACACTTCTTGGTTTCCTTGCATTTTTTACTGACAGGCTAAATATTCTCTTAAATCCTGCTCCATGTATTTAAAGATTAGCAGAAAAAAAGCCTACTCAATGGCAAATCAACATATTTTTTTGACAGCAAATTCAACTGAATTGTGTTCAAGAAAAAGATATGTTTTGATTACTGGTAACAATTCACCTTCGGACACCATAGCAAGCAAAATGCAGTGGCACAAAATTGTAGAGGCAGTATGTAATTATTACAGTATAATGCTCACTCGGGATTGCCTGCTTTGATCCCGTGAAAGAAAAACATTGCCTGAAGCAAACTAACATAATTCATAATTTTTGGAAAAAGTCAGTAACTGAGACACAAAAAGCAGCAGAAGACAGTCAAAACAAAAGAAAGTATAAACAATTCTTGTGGTTTTATTGTGCTGCAAACAAAGAAATATGGCTTTCTTTCTCATCTCTCAAAATACAAAAATCATTCTTGCTTTATGATAAAGCAAAATATTTTTGCAACATAATAAATCCTTTCTTGAACAAGCTTGTTTGGTAGACATGGCTGGATATTAGCCTCATTTTATTTTTTTATTATTATGGAACTCAGCTTCATCTCAGTCCAGAAAAATGCAAACAAGGAACTCCGCCAACATCCAGCCATCTTGATCTCACACTTGGTCATTATAATGCATACATATAATCATATAATCACATACTTATTTTATAATATGCAGATCTCTTGCAAATAAATTTAAAATTCTAAGCTAAGGAATAAGTCATGAAAAAAGGATGCAACACCACCCATCTAGATTCCACAAACAATACTCCACAAGTATGGGAAAAAAGAAAAATTCTGAATTCTGAACAAGATTTGAACCAGTGCTGTCTTGATCACTATCCAATGCTGAACTTTTAGAAAGCAGTAGGCAGCTGCCTCATTTTCAAAGCAAACTGACGAACAAGTAAACAACACCTGGAGATTTTTCACAGAAAGCCAGCAACAGCTAGTGCTGTCAAAGCTAGTGCAAGCTCTTTTACTCATTAAATTACCACAGTTCTTTCTTCACCTGTCTTTTCGTTCAAGACTTATTACTGAAAAGGTTGCATGTACATATGTCACTGTAATAGCACCCACACTGCATTGCAGGGACATTAAAACAAAATACTGCCTTTATTCTTTCTTAAAGAGTTCATCTTAGATCTCAAAAAAAAAATTAACAGTTAAAAACCATTAACTGTGCTCTAAGTTTAAGATTTCAGAATCAAAACTGATAGTTTTTACACACTGGGATGAGGAAAGTATCTGAAAAAACATATTTACAACCAAAATCTACTTCAGCTTATTAATATTTCACTAGCTAACACAGAGACCTTTTCATGTGTAAAAAGATAAAAAATCCTGTAAGCTTTTTTTTTGTGTTATTCATGAAAAGTTTTAAATGCAGAGCACAATGACTAGTTACAAGGCAATGAATCTCATATTTTCCAAATACAATATTTTAAATAATTTACAACAACTCAGAATAAATTTGCACATTTTTGTCACTTTATTCAACTAAATAATTACTGATCACCTGGCAAACCACAATAACAAAAGTCTTGAAAATTTTTAAAATAAATAACAGAAAAAGATAACCCATTTCCTTTTTTCTGATATTAGACCTAATTATGATAACCAGACAGGATAAAATCATCTTGGAACATATATCAGGTGTAAAATTAATTACAACAGGGTAATGACACTGGCAACTCGAACTAAAAGACTTAAGTTGTGTTTTGAACATTATCATATGAATATATCTTTTTTCACAAACTTACTCCTAAATTTTACTAATAAAATTAAGTCATACATTTGTAAACTGTTCGTTCGTTAGAATTTTTCACTAAATTTTGATCGGCTATTAATTTTTCACCGGACATTATCCGGTTTAAAACGTTCACAATTTCTATATGCATGCATGCTTTAATGTTGCCCAAATTTAAAGCTCAGCCACTGTATTACCCAAGAACTCGAAATAGCCATTTTTAGATTAATTATAAGAATACTGGGCTCGCGTAAAGCAAGATGGGAAGAAAATGAAGCCATTTGCACGGTTCACATTATCAAAATTACTTCAAACAACAACCGGCATTGGTACTCGTCCTGAAGCGAAATCACTATGTTTTGACTACAGAGGTCACAAGAATTGTTTTTATAATTTTAACACACATTAACAAAGGCATCGAACAGTCCTTCCAAAAAATCTTTCATCGAGCGATAACGGAAGAACACGAAACAAGATGTCGAGGAACCCTTTACAGCCGAAACAGCTGTTCATTGGGAAACCAAGTTCTGTCAAACGTGTAAGGACGGCAAATGAGTCAATTTCCCGTTCAAAAATACACAATAACAGAGAAAAATCGCAAAATATTAAAATTTTCCTCAGAAAACTTACAAGTTATACCCGATCGGCGTCTCAATCTCTTTCAATTGAAAATAAATCGGCCGTAAAATGCGTTTGAATTAAACACTCGCACGATCAATCGTCTATAACATAGCTTGCAGACAATAAACGGACTGTATTCGTAGCTTCATTTAATTCTTGACATGTCCTTTGTTCACAAAATACACGAACGCCCAACGCGAGCGAGGAATTTAATTTCATCAATGAAAGAAACCGGCCTCCCGAAAAAATTTCCCGCTTTGCCAAAGGTACTACTTGGAAATGATAAACTAGTAAAACATATGCAAAAAAAATATCAGAACCATCTTTGACAGTATGTAAATAAACCCACAGTCTGCTCATAAGCTTGGGGCAATTATCCGTGCAGCTTTGTGCAAAAGAAAATTAATGTAAAAAAAAAGAAGAAAAATACAGCTGGATTCGAATCAACAGCAACTTCGAACATTCGAAAAATTGCTCGTTTTAAAACTGCAGGGGATTAATTCACGTTACAACTACAAAGCTGAAATCATCAGTTTCACAGGTATAGAAGCCTCATTATAAAAACCAAGGGCTGGGTAAGATTAACACGAAAAAATAATAACAAAACATAACGTACCTGTCTCCCTCCGTCACTTCTTCTCCATCATCTGTGGTCAGAGAGATTTTCAAGGAAGATCGCTGAGCTTTCCAAGTTTCTGACATGGTTGACAAGGGGCCCACGTTCCGTAATATCGTCCAGTTTAGCTGCAAAACAGAAAAGAGGAAAACTGTTTACAAAGCCTTACCACAGAGCCTCGGGTTATATTGAGTACATTCAATATCAGTCCAGCTGCGTTGTGTACAAATTGTCCGCAGAGCAATACTTTGAAGGCTATCGATGAAAGTTGATGCCTCGAGGTCATAAAGATGTCTCCTACAGTAAACAGTTTTCCCGCTAGCATACAATTATAAAAAAAACCTTTCACCTACCGGAGTAGAATGGCTTTGAATGGGATAAAATTTAGTTCCGGCAGCAAAAGAGACGGAACCACGTTTTTTTCCAGAAGTAGTGGGCGATCGAAGACTTGATCGGACCTTTCTGTTAACGCTCCATGACCCGCGCTGAACGATTCTCAAGCAAATGCCGATGACTCCTAAAAACAGAAGATGTACCGCGTCGTATAAATCAAAATATGTACAGAGCTGCTCGAATGACAGTCTTGTCAGGGATATCCAGAAGAGGAAAAGTTTAGCTATCATTATCGCTGAATTTCCGGATCACTCTTACAAAGCCCGCGCTTGTTCGTGTGTTCTCTCTTTAGAGCTTTCGACTAATTTGAAAGTTGAATGACATCACAAGGGCAAGAGGTGAAGATTGGGAATTAACATATGAATGGAGAGTTGGTGAGCGGCTAAAAATACGACCGCGGTATGTTTGGTGATGTCATTTTCTATACCAAAGCAAAGCAAAGAACTACATTGAAAAGGCTAAAATTTTGTCACCTTATAGCGGAAATCGTTTCAGCTTTGATCAACGAAGAGGAGAGAGAAAGGGTCAAGAAGGCATTATTCTAATTTTCGTCCACTTCTCAAATTTCAGTAATCTACGGAGCAATTATGTAAATTTCACATAAAAAAGAGTTTTAGCGTTTGTGATCATCTTTGCACTGTAACCAGCCTGCTTTACAGAGGTAAACGAACGAAATATTTATCCGGCTTGTACAAGAAACCAATTTAAAGTGATCTCTGGTAAACGAAATTTTATACCCGACGAGAGCCGATCGATTCTGCGAGAGACTCACTTAAGGCGTCAGTTTATTACGATAAACAAAGCGCTTAGCTCTAATAATTTCCGTCATTCAACAAGGATCACTGCATTAATTCTATTGTGATGAAAACATAGAAAGAGCAATTATGCAAATAGTGCTCTTATACAAAACGTAAGCTACAAATGCATTAATAGCTACACATAAATCATTCTAGTCCATTTTTAGGAAAATTGAAGTATCATACGATGGCACTTAAAATTTAGTTTTATCCAAAGCTTACAATTACAAGCCTTTTGATACCTTATTTCTTCCCCTATGAAAATGATATATTCTAATGGGTACAGTTTCGATAATTTTTATTTTATTTTACTTAAAGATCAGACCGTAAATCTTCCGGTTTTTAGGACCTCCTTCCGTTCGAAAATTTTTGCTCGTGCTCTTTCTCCGCCGCAAGGATTTTGTTTTGGCTTGTTACCTTGAGTGCAAACAAAATATGTAAGAACAGATATAACTCATTTTTAAATTGACAACTAGTGTATGTAACAAGCAGTAAAAATAAAACTTGCCGATTCACAGCAATTTCCATCAAAATGGAAATCTTTATTACATAGTTTTCCGGCGAACATGTGTTAATCGTAAAATTCAATTACAGAGATAAAACTGTCCAAAACACACAACTGTCTTTTTCCTCTAACCGTTTTAGGAGGCCCTGAATATTGATAATCACGGAGAAACATTCACTGAAGTGGAAAATTAGAGATTATCAGATTAACTGGAATAATACAGGCAAAAATTTCCTACGTATGAAATCTATCTCCTTGTCTTTTGGTATTAAACCATTCTTTAGTTCATTGAAGTTGATATTCCTTGAAGAAATGGAAATAGGAATATTTCTATAATGAAAAATATCCTGAGCGTTTTTTTTTTTAATCCAATCTCATCGTGTATAATACTTAAGGGAATATCGACCTCAGCTAACTAAAGAGTGGTTTAAAATCAATCAGCAGAACAAGAGATGTATATCATACTGTAAAATCGTTGGCTTGTATTACTCCTGTTTATACCCATAATCAGCATATTAGATCTTCCGATCAATGACCTATAAACATCGGTGAGATGTGCTAATTAGCGTTTCTCTCCGAAAACCGGCCGTTCATATGGAAAAGTTACGAAAGGCGTTCACCAAAATTTCGGCGAATCTTCGTATGAGCTCGGTCAGTCGGGCTGCCTTGGTTCCAAGATCTCCTGGACTCACTCTCTCCTTAGTTCTCGAGATCTCGATTGTTTCGTTCGAAATCTCGATTAACCCTTTAATTCCCATGAGTGACCAAGACAGAATTACTTCTTACAATATCAATACGATATCAAGCAGACAAGAGACGAGAATAAAGAAAAATATCGATAAGGGAGTAATCACGTGCACTTGACCCTATACCAAATTCTCTGAACTAACATTATAAGAATCGTATGGTTGACAATAAGGAGAATTACAAATTTGATCTGAGAGTTAAAGGGTTAACGGGCTAGAAATGTCATATGAACTTTATCGCAATTTTCCGGAGAGGCGATGCCTTGATTATCCAAGTTGTTGATCTGAAATTCTTCCCGTGAAATATAACCAAGCTGGAATCTCAGCTCGCTCGGCAAAGGGTTGAAATTTCCCACTAGAATGTGAGCAGTGCCGCTTCTCGGCGAAGCCCGTTGCGCGAGTCAGAGACGTGAGCGCTCAGCCCGGAACTCTAGGAATGAGGCACACGAAAAGTACGGCCAATATAAATTTTTTTTTTGTTCATTTATTTTTATTTATATTTATTATCATTATTACTATTATTATTATTGACTCACGAGTCGGATTTCACCGAAGGGATGGGACTGCTCAGAGTCTAATTTCCAACTAATAAAAAAGAAGACAGAAAAGCTCCTGAAAATTGCGCAAGCTTTGTATTCAGTCTATGCGGAAGTATTCTATCTCCGTTCTATGTCTGTCGCAAAAATGGTGATCCGTCATTACCCGATCAAACTCACCTCCTCATACAAGGCGAGCTGGATGTTCGGGCTTGTCCGAAAATGTGCCGATTGACGTATCAATATTTACACAGCGATGGTACCAGGCCCTACTCCGTCTAATTTGCCGGCCACAACATGAAAGCCCACAAGCAGTGAAATGTCCTTATCAGTTTCTTTGCAACGCTCAGCTTAAGATAACTTTTATGTGCTTTTATCTCGATCTGTGACCGTGTTTCTCATTGTGGCGGGTGTTTACACTACTTTGGGCTTCACCTACATGCAATAGTATACAGACAACTAAAATGAATACACGCTTTTGAATCATTTCACCTTCTACGTAGACGCGAGTAATCCGCCGTTTGTATTTCAGCTTATACACATCCAGGCAATGAAAGGAACGCCAGATAAAAAATAACGCGTGTTTGGGCAGCATCGATGCATTATAATTTTTGATTTGTGCGGTAACTCGCGGGAACTTTTTAACCGGCGAAAAATTTGCATGTCAACAAGATCAAGAGGACGAACTCCACTCTTAGACGGTAAACATCGGCTGAGGCTACAATAGTATTAATAAGAAAAAGTCAACTGCGGGAAAAATGCCCGTCGTTTCACTACTACTTCGTTAATATAAGATTTCTTATGGTTCAAAGCGAGCATCATCGAGCATCACCAAGCGATCTGATCATGACCTCTTTAGGAATAAAATGTAGAGTGTTACACAAGTGATTGATGAGAAAGAAAACATCTACTTCATCAAGATCCAGTTTATAAACATCGAAAGCAATCACCTCTTTTCTTATCTACCTAATTTGAAACTTTCAACTAAATCAGAATGATCAAGGTGATAGTCATTTAGCTACGGTCGACAGAATTTTACTAAAATTGACGTAGCTTTCCTAACTATCTTCTTGAAAAGCAACTTTTTAAGTTTTCCTTGGCTGGCAAGTAATGCAATAAATGTATACAACTGTTATATAACTTAGATAAAATAACATTGCAGTATACGTGACACTGGCTTCTAAATCTCTGATAACAATGACAGATTACCAAGACAGCTTTATGGCGGCCAATCTAATCTGAAGGGGTGTACTTGAACAGAATGCGAATGAACCGATTTTCCAGTGCTTAACAAAGGCCCAATTCTTTGCCAGAAATGATCTGTTTTCGCAAGGGCCAATGCCTCTGCGAGATGTCTTAGTGAAATTAAGAGGACGATTAAGAAGGAAGAAGCTGATGCACATTGTTAAATTTGGTGTAACTTGGAAGTTAAGCTTTTACATAAACGAGAAGATCTTCTACTGTCCATGAAGTCCACCTCTCTACACTAAATATTTGCAAATCCAGAAAATCAATGCAAAGCCTCGGCTTGTGATATTCAATTTTGCCAAGTAATACCTTAAAAACCGTTAACATAACAACGCGATCTACAGCTGAAACGCTGTAAACACTTTCAAGAGCGCAATCTCGAAAGGAATGTAATAGATCTTACATGCGTGAAGAATGCAACACGCAACAAGTCGATAACAACTCAATAGCTTGTAAACCATTATGATAAAACATCTTAAGACAACAATTACCTTTTATATATGTTATCCTTACAACTTCACGCCATTTGTAATGGCCAAAAAAGAAATTTCTTCTGCAGCGTGTCGCAAAAATTAGCGCGATGAAGGAAACCCGAGACAATTCAAGAGCGACTCAACAATTCCGATGCTATCTATTGCTTTTCTTGTTTAATTGGTCGTTTAACGCTTGACGTCATAGAAATTAAAAAATTTCCAGACTGATTTTCCGACAAAGCTACGGAAGATACTGATAGTCGTTCTGGAAATCTTTTATCTAGTGCAATTATGAATTTACAAATATATGAATTTCATATATCTAAAATCACTATGAATTTATATTTAAGAAAACATCGGAGTTGTTTGTTGAAGATGTATGGCTCAGAGCGAAGAATACTTTTTGCCTATTAAACCGCTTATAATTGCACATGGTAAACAAGAAAGTTCGAGAATGATTGCAAAGATTCTCGCGAGGTCTACCGGAAGAACATTGGCAAACCAGAAGTAATTCCATAGATTACCATCTGCTGTGAGAAAATTTTTACATTTTCGTTTCTTCACGCACTTAAGAAAGAACCCTGGCGGTCTTTCATTTTATTATTTAACTCCTGTTCAGTGCCATAACCTTTACACAAGTTCGTATATATTGCATAACCCAGACGCGCACAATTGCTAAAGTTTCTATTGAATTAAGCAAGAACTTCTGCGCTTTTTCGAAGAGAATATGAGAGTTGAAAGCAAGCAGTGTTAAAATCATTGTGTCTCCTTTTTTTATTTCTGATGAAATACGATTCTTCAAGTCTCCAACGCGCTTGTTTCGGGAAGGGTTCCTGCAGAAGGTGTGCCCTTAGTCTTGTTTCAGAAAGGAAATAAATGTTACGCTAATAAAAGTGCGTAATTAAAATTATCATGTAATACCACTCCGGAAAGGAACCCTCGACGCCTGCGGGATATCCCGCAGTGGGAATTGTTCGTTAAACCTGAAGTGAGCAGAACTCCGCAAAGAAACTTCTCCCTCGCAGCGCTGTTTAAGAAATGCTCTTGTTATCTTAGAAAAGTTATTGGCTTCATTTCAATCACATTTTTGAGGGCAGAAACTTCGGCACCTTTTCAAGAGCAGAAAAATTGTTGTGGAAGTATCACAATACATT